AAAGAGGAAGGAGGCCCGTCTACCAAGCAAGGAAGCTGAGAGGGAGAGGAAGGGAAGTAGCTCAGGCTTCTTGGACAGACACGGATTGCTCAGGACGGGCCCTTTTGGCAAAACCACGTAAAGCCTAGTTCCTCATTTGTAAAGTGGAAAGTGGGATGAAGATAAAGATGCATGTGGAGTGCTCTGGACCCTGGAAAGTGTCAGCCAAGTGTCGAGTGTTTGCTAATTAGAGCAGTCTTGGGCAAGATCCTTAAATTCCCTGGTTTCTGTGCCCCATCTGTCGCACAGGAGTAAATATCGCTGTGAGGACTGGCCTGTTTGGAGAGCCTGGTCAACTGCAGTTGAGGGGTGACGATGAGGGCTGGGGTGATAGCTCAGCTGGGAAAGTGTTTGTCTTGTAAGCATGGGGACCAGAGGTCCAGCCTCAGAACCCATGTAAAGAAGCCAGGTTTGGCTGTGTGTACTTCTAATGCCAGCTCTGGGAATGTGGAAAGAGGCAGATCCCTGGGGTTCAATAGCCATCCAGCCAAGCTCAATTGGGTGAGCCCTGACCCAAAAGAGTGACGGCACTAAAGCAGTGGTCTCAACCTGTGGGTCGCAACCCCTTCAGGGTCACATAGTAGATATCCTGCAGATCAGATATTTACATTACAATTCATAACAGTAACAAAATTACGTTTATGAATTAGCAACGAAAATAATTTTATGGTTGGGAGTCACCACAACATACAGAACTGTATTAAAGGTTCGAATCATTAGGAAGGCTGAGAACCACTGCACAAGAGGTTGCCCTCTGACCTCTACATGCATAGAGAGAGAGAGAGAGAGAGAGAGAGAGAGAGAGAGAGAGAGAGAGAGAATATGAAAATTAACTTTATCCTGGCCAACTATGGCAGTGATGTCAACATTGTCTCTGGGGCCATGAGGAAAACTACCTTCATCACAGATTTTTTTTTTTTCCCCAGCTAGAAGGCTCTCTGTCATAGTTAAGAGAAATGAGCAGAACTAGCCTAGCAAAAGAGGAATCCTAACTCAAGTGCAGACACACGGCAAGGTGTCAGAAACATCCCAGAACAAGGAGTCTGAACCTGTAAGAAACCATAAGCTTCCCTTCAAAGAGTCTTTGCGGCTTCATCCTTCTCTACATAAAAAGGCATCCACAGCCCACAGCTCTCTGGCTTTCATCTCTTTATGCACTCGCCAAAAATCTCAGAGAGAGGAGCTCGTTGGCTTTAGCCTGAGTCAGGTTCACCCCTGAACCAATCACCGATAGCCTGCATACCAACCAATCAATCGAGGGCACAGTGCAAACTAACATGGCCGCCTTCCCTGCAACTCGAGAGTGGGAGAAAGTGACATAGACCAGACCAGACTGACAGAAATCTAAGCAGTGATGCTTACCCACCCCACCCCTGTGTTGTATGCACAGCTGGCAAGCTCCAGGGATCCTCCTGTCTCTGTCCCCACCCCCACGGCCACACTTGGCTCTTTCCACAAGCACCGGGGATCTGAACTCAGGTCCTCACGCTTTCCTGGCAAGCACTTCACCGACAGTCCCACAGCCTCCTTCTTACTCAGAGTCTCTTTGCCCACTCGACCTTCTCTCTGGTCTCCTTCAGCCAACGGGGCCACTCCTGACGTCCTGCAGCAGGGCCGCTTGCTAGTTGTGGACTATGCCACCTGCTCCAGCGCTAGCTGGTGGGGAAGCTCTGTGAAGACAACCATGGTGTGCGCTGGTGGCGATGGTGTGACCTCCAGCTGCAATGTGAGTATCCACAACCAGGTGTCCCAGTCTACAACCAAACATGGTTGGGATGGTGGCGGGGGTGGGGATGGGTGAAGTGTTGGGGGTATCCTAGGATCCCTCTCTCCCTCCTTCCTAGGCAGGAGCCTTGGCTCTGGACCATTTCAGACCCTGACCTCTGTTTTCACAGTCCCCAGGAAGGATGCTTTAAGCTCCATCACCCTGTAGCATCCTTTTGGCCTAACTGCTAGGAAGTCTTCAGTTTTTCCTTGGAGCTCATCCAGGTCTCTCATTACTGTCATCCCCCTGTAGTGGCCCCTCGGGTAGCCACTAGAGAAGTCTTCTTAAAGACTTCATGAATCAAAGGACTTGCTACAGGCAGATTCTTCAGAGGAGAACAGAGGGGGAGGGGGTCCCCACACCTCAGATACAGTCAGTGCCTTGACTGCATAGACCCCTTCACTCCATGGTCTCCAGTCAGTGCCTTGACTGCATAGACCCCTCACTCCATGGTCCCCTACAGGCAAGTCCTAGCCTCTGAACGCTCAGTTGCCTTTTCCAATGAACCCAAGAAACTCACACTGACCTCATGGGCTTAAAAAGAGAAGAGGCACAGAAAGTGCCTAGCTGCAATCTGGGACACATGCCTATCATTCCAGCACTAGGGAGGGTGAGGCAGGGGGATGGTTGCATGTTTTAGCTCAGCCTTGGCTACATGGAAAGACCCTGTCTGGGGTGGGGGTGGGGAGATGTGAGCAAAGTCGGAATGATAATCCATACCTGTAATGCCAGCATTTATGGGGTTGAAGCAGGAGAGCCACATTGTGAGGCCAGTCCCCAAATAAAGACATGCCAGCTCCTGTAAATAAGGTGCCACACACAGCCTGTAACCGTAAGGCTGGCCTCAGGACAGTGACCTCATAGAAGAACAATATGAATATACTAAGAACCAGGCCCCATTGGGCACCCTCTTCCTCCCTCCACACCCGACTCTGGCTTCCTCAGGGGGACTCCGGTGGACCACTGAATTGCCAGGCATCTAACGGCCAATGGCAGGTGCATGGAATCGTGAGCTTCGGCTCTTCTCTGGGCTGCAACTACCCCCGCAAGCCATCTGTCTTCACCAGGGTCTCCAATTATATCAACTGGATCAACTCGGTAAGAACCACCAGCCCCAAAGCCCAGTCTGCCATGAGGCCTGCAGGGGTTCCCAGAATCAGCAAGTGTATCTCATTTCTTCTTCTGGTCATATAGGCCCAGCCCCCACCCTCCAATGCAGTCAGTGATCATATGTATTTACAAAGCCCACACCCAATGAGACCCCTACAGCCTTAGTTATTAGCACTTAATTCCCCTGAAGAGTGCTCCCCTACCCCTCACAAGATGACCAACTGTCCCCATCTGCCCTAGGACAAAGGACTATTCAGTTCTATGTTGGGCCACTCCCAAGCAAATAGGACTGAGTTTATCTTCCTGTGCCTATGTATCCCCAGAGAGTCTTCTCCAGGAAGCCCAATTTCCTTTTTACTATATATTAACCGCAAATTATTAAAAGAGTAATAGGGGGAATGTAGGCAGTAAAGTACACACCTTTAAAGTACAGGGACCCGAGTTCAATCCCCAGAATCCATGTAAAAAGCCAAGCATGGTAGCCTGTGCTGGGGAGGCAGAGACAGGATCCCTGAGACAGCTGGCCAGCCAGAGCAGCTGAGGATACAGACAGAACAGCATTGGCATAATCAAAGGATGGAAGGTACGCTGAGTCTGGAGAGGGATGCTAGGAAGGGAGGGAGTTCTGCCCACACAGTGTTTTGGTTTGGTTTTTCAAGACAGTGTTTTTCTGTGTAGTTTGGTGCCTGTCCTGGATCTCACTCTGTAGACCAGGCTGGCCTCAAACTCACAGAGTTCGGCTGGCTCTACCTCCTGAGTGCTGGGATTAAAGGTGTGCACCACCACCGCCCGGCCACACCACACGGTGTATTTTAATCCACTTCTGTGTAGCCACCCCTTTGGTTTGTTTTTCTGTAAAATGGACTTGAACTGAATGGACTCCTCAGCAGGAACAGCGAGGATGGTGGCACCTGTGACGGGGCCCATAAAGTAGGGAAGCTGCCACTGACTCATTATCTCCAGTTCCACTTGCAGGGAACCTTAAATTGAGTTAGATTGCTAGAAAACCAAATATGAAGTGGCAGCTGGCAGCATGTGCCAGAGGGAGAGGGCGCTGTCAAAGCCAGCCTGAGGCTGCTTCCAGGTTTGCCCACTCATACTTGCCAGCTTCTCAGTCATTTGTCTGTGTGCTGGTTCTGTTCGGCCCCCGCTAGACTCAGCCCCAGAGCTTCCAAGATTGTTAAAGCTCAGAAATGGATCAGTGAGATAAAGGCACTTGGTGAGAAGCCTGATTGATGACCGAGTTCAATGCCTGGGACCCACATAGTAGGAGAGAACAGACTCCACACTTCCACACACGCACAAATAAATGCTTTTTTTAAAAAAAAAGTAAGTAGGGAAAAACAGAAAATCAAGAGAGTTTTTTCCATTTTGGTTTGTTTAGATTGTGAACTGGGTAAGAGAGCCATGTCTACATTTTGGCAGAGGGAAATAAAGCCAGTTTAGCACATTTCAAAAGAGCCTCAGTAACTGGAAGGAAAGATGCTTATGGGCTTTGTCTCGGGCAAATCCTAGGATCTTCTTTTGTGGTCCCAGCTGCTGCATTAGTCACTATGCAGCTGAGCCTGGCAGCACCTTTGGGACCCAAAGCGTGACTTGTTGTCCCAGCACCTGCTGTTTCCAGCCACAGACACAGGCAGACACAGCAGGGCAGATGGCTGGGGGCGGGGAGTCAGGAAAAAAAAAACCAAAACAAAAAAACAAAAAACCTTTCTGGGCACCTGGGCAGTCCTTGCATTCTCAGGAGAGCAGTCAGTGCAGCAGAGTGCTGGGCTGGGGGTACGCCTTGGGGTGCGGGCAGCAGGAGTAGAGAACTGAGTGGCCAGCTGTCCCTGGAGAAGGCTGCCCCGGCAGCTGCGGAGGAGCAATGGGAGCCTCACAATGGTCCCAGCCCAAGGCCACACTGTGTGTGCATGCAGCCTGAGTCTCAAACAGCTGCAGCCCTGGGAGCACCTGTCTAGACAACAGTAGTAGGTGATGAGCCAAGGCCAGCAAGCTGCCAACAAAAGGCACAAATGGGGCGATCAGGAAGCCCGGGGCATTTCATCCTTTCAGCAAATGTCCACTGAAAAATGTCAACATGGGATGCTTCAGCAATCACAGCTTTATTGTTCTGTTCAGAAAGGAATACATTTCTTTATTGAAAATATTGTTTATAAAAAGAATATAGGAGTGTATTAAGTAAGCAGTGAAGATCCCCTCACTTTAACCTCTGTTCCCATTCTACAGAGGGAGTCACTGTGAATTACATGCCATGTGCTCTTCCAGGCTTTGTGTATATGAGACCAACATACAGAACAGAACAAAACCCTGTACTGCCAGACGTGGTGCAGGTTTGTGATGCCCGGTACTTGGAAGGCAGAGGCAGGAGGATTGTTTTAAGGCCAACCTGGGCTACATGAGACAAAACCAGGCTAACGTAGCCAAGCATGGTGGTACACCACCTATAATCAAAACACTTAGCCTGGAATGGTGGCGCACGCCTTTAATGCCAGCGCTTGGAAGGCAGAGGCAGGTGGATCTCTGTGAGTTCAAGTTCAGCCTGGTCAAAAGTCCAGGACAGCCTGGGCTGTTACACAGAGAAAGCCTGTCTCAAAACTGCCCCCTTGCCCCAGAAAAAAAAAAAACAAACAAACAGACAAAAAAAAACCAGGCTGAGGCCAAAGGATTACAAATTAAAACCCCACAACTAGGTGTGTATATTGTCTTCTAACCAAAAGCCACAATCACAGTCTGCTTGTTCAATGCGCTCAGCTGTCACCTGTCACTCTGAACTGCTGTGAGGTATCCACAACACAAATGTCATGAGGGATGTTTCATCTGTGTTCCGTTTTTAATGCCCACACTGCTGCAGTGAGCAACCTTAGACAAGGATCCTTGTACTCTGTTCTGAATGCCTGTGCTATAGAAATCAGCAGCTCTACTGGGCGAGGGAGCCTGTATGTTAGAATGCATAGGGAATCCCAGCACAGGTGGAGGTAGAGAGGGTCAGGAATTCAAGGTCATCCCTGGCCACATGGCAACTTTGAGGCCATCCTGGGCTATAAGAAACTCCCATCTCAAAAAAAAAAAAAAAAAAAAAAAAAAAAGACACACCCAAAAACGTATTTGATCCTGCTAATTGGTCTTGGAAAGCAAGTGACATCCCCCCAACCCATACACTATGTTAGTGCCTCAAAGAGTAATCTTAAGGAACAAATTAGCCCAGTGTGATGGTCAACACCTTCAATCCCAGTACTTGGGAGGCAGAGGCAGGCAGCTCTGTGAGTTCAAGGCCAGCCTGATCTACAGAATGAGTTCCAGCACAGCCAGAGCTACGTAGTGACTTGTCATGTCACTAGAGATTCACACTCCAGTTCTGAAGCCCCAGCAGGACCAGGCTAAGGCCCCTCTTTACAGGAAGAGAAAGCCGTGACCACGCCCTTTCTCCCTGAGAATTAATGCTCAGCCATCAGGCTAACCTCACTTTCTCCTGTGTGTCCTGCAGGTGATTCAAAAGTACTAACCAAAGATGGCTCTGGGACTGCCACCTTGGAAGTGTCACACAAGGAAAGCAGTAATAAATTGACTATATGAATCACACCCTGGTACGAGTCTGTCTTATTATTAACCAGACACCCTAACCTCAGGGCCCTGGAAACAAAGCCTGTGGAGGAGCCTGGTGTGGTGGTGCACACTGTAATCCCAGTGCTCAGGAGGAGTCAGGATGGAGATTTTGAGGCCAGCCTAGGCTACAAAGTCAGAACCCAGCCCAAAAATAAACAAACAAGGCTTGGCACCCCTACTGTCTGAGCTCAAATGGATGTTCATAAAGCAAAGATACCGAGACCAGAAAAAAAGAAAACTAAGTGAAAGTCGGGACAGCTTTAAAACCCCCAGGGGCAGCACCTTCTCCAGGGAAGCCCAGCATTTCACCCCTGCATAATCACTGCCCTCAGGGGACAGGTTCACTGGGAGGAAGACACTAGGAGACAGAGGTGGGGACTCAGGATAGCCGAGCTCTGTCCAGGTGTCTCCAGTAGGGTAACCATGGCCCTTCAAGACAGGAGATGATCTGTGGGAGCTTCTGGGGACTCCCGCAAGTCACCTCCTGGGCTGGGACAGGGATGTTAGAAGACGTGGAGAAATGCTCAGAAAATACAAAGGTCTGCTTTGTAGGGAAGAACAGAACAGAAGTGGGGGATGACACGGGCCAAAGGAAGCCCTTTGGCCCAAGGTTTATTTTTTAAGAATAAATAATGTGCTAAAGTTAGAATGAATCCTTCTGGAAACTTCAACGAACTCACAGATCCAGGTGTTCACACTGGACCAGCTGGACTGTGGGTCTGGGAAGGAGAGATGCTGGTGTGTCTGAGCCACAGACCACTGCGGACTATGGTCCTCCAGTGGGGGCTGTTATGTCCCCTAGGGTACGTGTGACAATGTCTGCAGACATTTCTGGTTGGCAGAACTCAGGCAGGGTGCTCCTGGCAGCTGGCAGGTAGAGACCCGAGATGGCTCAAAATACCCTACAATACACAGGACAGTCCCATGACAGGATTACGCCACCCCACATGTCAACAGTGCAGCAGCAGAGAAGCCCTGCTCTAGAGAGGACCTGGTGGTCACAGGCCACAGTTCCTAACCACAGATGAAGAGGCCAGGTGGCAGCCACAGCGCTCTATTCCTCTCCCTCCACTGCTCTGTATCTCTCACCAACCCGGAAGCTGCTAGGAGCCTGTCTGCCGCGGAAGGGGAAAGAGCAGCCTGCCCCAGTTCCAAAAACCTGGCTTTGCAGGACAGTCCTGGCCTCAGCCACGTCCAGTCCACGAAGGTTTAGGGGAGGGCATTGAGGCAATAAGCCGCCCCAACCTCATTAAGTTTTAAAAAACATTTTTTTCCGGAGGAAGTTAAAACAGCCAGGAATCTGCTTATAAATCCCCTTCTCAGAAACAGCATTGGCGACCTGCAAAACAGAACCAGAGGTGGAATTTATGAGTTCAGTGTCCTTGTCGGAGGCCATACCTGAGGGCGAGGGCCACTGAAGGGGCATCTGAAGGAAGGCCACTCCACCTATACCCTTCTCAGGTGGGTTGGGGAACAAACACCTCAGCTATGTAAAAGAATGGAAAACTCAAGTTTTCTAATACAAAAATTCACAATTCCAATCAGACTGAAAGGTTGGGAGTAAGGAAGATGGGGAACAGGGGGACCCAGAGACCACGCCTGCTGCTCGGCTGTCCCCATCCTGTAGGGCCCCACTCAGGACCAGAAGGGACTCCTATAGCCCTGAGGTGTGCACCTCAGCGGAGCAGTGGAAACCCACAGGGCCCTTGTGGTTGTGGAGTATTATTTCACTAGGCAAAGATGTGTTTCGTTTGTTTATGCTGCGGAATATTACTTTAACTGTATAAAGGTGTGTTACATTTGTTTGTGCTGCATTTGTTTAATCTTGTAAAGATGTGTTGCATTCGTTTCACCTTGCCTGCCTAAGGCCCCTGGTTGGTCTAATAGAGAGCTGAATGGCCAATAGCCAGGCAGGAGAGGGATGGGTGGGGCTGGCAGGCCGAGAGAATAAATGAGGGGAAGAGGAGGCCAAGCCGGGGGCAAGAAGCCAGGCGGCCGCCAGCCAGACACAAGAAGCAGTGAAAGTAAGATGTACAGAAGGAAAGAAAAGTAAAAAGCCCCAAGGCAAAAGGTAGATAAAGAGAAACAGGTGAATTTAAGTTAAAAGACCTAGCCAGAAACAAGCCTAAGCTAGGCCAAGCATAGCTTACTTACAACATAACTAGTAAGTCTCCATGTCATGATTTGGGAGCTGGTTGGTGGCCCAAAAGAAAAAGCCTGGTACACCTCGTGGGGAGCAAGTGCCTGAGTTGGTGGCTGGCTGCTGTGAAGCAAGGCACCACCATGCCCCTTCCCTGTTCATTCTCATTGAGGCCTCCAGGAAGGGGACACTCTAGACAGAAGCACAATGCATGATGGTCAAGAGTCAATGCCGTGGGGCTCTAGATGTAGCTCAGTTGGGAGGTTACTTGTCTAGCATGAACGACACCCTGGATTTCACCCTAGCACTGCACAAATTGGGTGTGGTACTTAGCACCCATAATCCCAGCACTCAGGGAGTAGAGGCAGGAGAATCAAAAGTTCAAGTTCATTGTTCACTACACAGCAAGTTCTAGGCCAGCCTGGGCTACATGTGACTCTATCTAAAGAGAGGGCATGTGGGGGACTCCCACGGGGTTAAGGGAGAGGTACATGGCCAGGTTTCAGGGCACCATGCTCTTGCCACTGAGCCACCTCACCTGGCACTTAAGACCACTCTGTCATCTGGGAACCAGGTGTCTGTCTGGGCATCTGTCTCTAAGGAGGCAGGGGAAGACAGCACTTTGCAAAGAGGACAAGTGTCATCGCCATGGTCACGTTCCTCATTGAGAGGCAAGGCGCTCCCTGATTCTCAGCCAGAGCCCACCAGCCCTTGCAGCTGGCTAGGGCCTGCTGCCCTGCTCTCCAGGCCTCTCCGCCCCTCAGGAAGAAGTACTCACCCTGAGGAGGAGGGACTGCAGGTCTTCAGAGCGAGCCCACTGTTCCAGGACGCCGTCCAAGGTCTCAATGTACCAGGAACCACTCTTCTTGTCTCTCCAGGAGACAAACCCTGCAGGAGGAGAAGACTGAACTGCCACAGAGCGGAGTGGCACACTCCTTGGCAGAGTATGCGGGCCACAGCCAGATCCAGACTGTGGCTCACAGACAGGTGGCAAGGGCGGCCCCATTGCTGTGGCTCCCTGCTACTCTTCACCCTCAACCCCACTTGACTGGCTGTGGCTCCCATCTTCTCAGTCTGGAAACCAAGGTTCTGGGAAGTCAGGGGTCTCAAGAAGGTTGAAGGATGTACCTCATGGCTCCCTTACCGCCACACACCCAACACTGTGCTGAGGGAAGTGCCAGCCCCTCCCTTGTTTACTCTGCGGGACAACCCCAAAAGGTTACTGTTCTTAATCTGCATGCCAGTCTGAAGCCGTGCCTGCTTCCCCGTGAGAAGCGGCTTAGGAGAGGTGAAGTGACTTGCCAAGGACCCCCAGGCACAGATGAGCTCACCTGGGAAGGTGGAATAGGATACGAGGATGTCACTGGGGGTGGGTAAGCTTGACACGGCGTCCAGCTGGTCAGAGGTCCTTGGGCCTTCCTGGTACGGTACAGCGTCTGGCTCCGAGTCGCTGTCAAAGGCCCCACCTTGAGAGGAAGTGCAGGCCACCTGAAAGCCATGGTCTTTCTGCTCTGCAGGGGCAAAAACAGACACCCAATGTCACTACACTGTAGAACCACTATAGCACAAGGTGCTTCTCCTGAAAAGGGACAGGCCTGGACCTGAAGGCTTCTCTTGTGAGCACTGCCAATGTTGGAAGGAAACTGGAGCTTCATATGGTGAAGCACAACTGTTTTGTCTTGAGACAGGGTCTCACTATGCAGCCCTGGCTGGCCTTGGACTCACAGAAATGCATCTGCCTCTGCCTCCCCAGTGCTGAGATTAGACACATAAGACATCAGGCCTGGCAGAGTATTAATTTTTAATTGTGTGTGGAGGTGAGGTTTGTGCACATGCATGCAGTTGCCCACAAGAGGGTGTTGGATCCCCGGAGCTGCAGTTACTGGAAGTGGCCCAGTGTGGTTGCTGGGAACTGAACTGAGTCCTCTCCAACAGTATGCATGCACTCTTAACCACTGAGTCATCCAACTGGGTACTCTACACAGTACACACTCTTTACTGACCCACCTCTCCAGGGCCTGGCCTTGAATTCTCATCGCCCTGCTTTGGCTTCCTAAGTAGCTGAGATTACAGGTCTGTGCTAACAGGCCCAACCATTTGTATTTTTTTTTTTTTTTTTTTTTTTTTTTTTTTGTTTTGTTTTTCGAGACAGGGTTTCTCTGTGTAGCTTTGCGCCTTTCCTGGAACTTGCTTTGGAGACCAGGCTGGCCTCGAACTCACAGAGATCCGCCTGGCTCTGCCTCCCGAGTGCTGGGATTAAAGGCGTGCGCCACCACCGCCCGGCCCATTTGTATTTTTTGCACTACCCTAATCATTTTATGGGAACCCAAAGAGGAAATCCAAACTATACCAAACAGGGGGCTAAAAAGATGGCTCAGTAGGTACAGGCACTTGCTGCCAAGCCTGGATCCACATGATGGAAAGAGAGAACTGACTCCCAAGTTTGAACTTACACACTAAGTTTTATGTATGTATGTATGTGTGTGCTAAACAGATCTATACTTATACCATATTAAAACCTTTAACAGCAACTTTGCAGCAAACACCCCAAATAAAGAAAACGACAGGTAACCAAATCTGTGTTAGCGTGCTCACCTTCTAAACCCACAATTTTTGTTTTGTTTTTCGAGACAGGGTTTCTCTGTGTAGTTTTGGTGCCTGTCCTGGATCTCCTCTGTAGACCAGGCTGGCCTCGAACTCACAGAGATCCACCTGCCTCTACCTCCCGAGTGCTGGGATTAAATGCGTGTACCACCGTCACCTGGCCAAACCCACAATTTTCTAAGGAACTAATTCAGATGCAGCCCATGGCACTCTATGGAGACCCCTATGTAGTGTGAGCTGACAGGCAGTCATAACCCAAATGGCCACGGTTGGGAAGTGGACATGGGAAAGAGGAAAGTCAGAGAGGGACACCAGTCGCATCTCTGTTCATGTGTCATCCTTAGTCTGCACACTGTATACATGGAGGGACCAATTCCCGGTATACATACAGCAGGAGGCAGACCGTCCCCTCAGCTGCTGTGGCCAACTGTGGCTGCTTTCTGCCTTCTCCTCATTGTTATGAATTATTACACGGGGTGGGGGTGGGAGGTCCCAAGGGTATTCCTTGCATGCAGGGAAACATACTGGGCAGATGCAGCCGCATGCTGGCGGGCAACCCACTCCATGCAGGCATGGCAGTGGGGCGGCAGGTTGACATTCATGACCCAGAGGCTGCATCCACATGGAGAGTTTATTATAATGAGGGATAAAGAATATTTACACTCATAAGCTCTAAAATCCTTTAAAAAAAAAAGGGGGGGGTGTCACCGCAAAACTGACAGCTCAGCCTGAGCCACAGCTGGACTCTGGCCAAGAGTGTATGACACTCCTGTATGACAACTGTGTCACACTGACGGCATCACACCAGTTACTGGCTCTGGAGGAACTTCCTCAAGCCTAGTTCTGTGCCACCTCCTAACAGGGTAGGTGACATGTTGCCTCTTAAATTAGAATGGTAAATTTGAAAACAGCAACAGTAGCGTCATCAAAATCCTGGGCCTCATTTGCATGTGTGTGAACAGGACACCCAGCCAGGCAGGGGACAGGGAAGTCACTGTGTTTCCGTTCTTAGGTGACATGGCGTCACCAGGTGGCAAGAGCATTAAACAGCAGGTCACACTTCCTGGAGGGGACAAAGCCAGACAAAGAGGGAGGGTAGACAGGATCTCATATAGCCCAGGCTAACCTGAAACCAGTTTTTGGTCTCTCTATGTAGCGCTGGCTGCCCTGGAACTCACTATGTAGACTGGGCGTGCTCAGACACCCTCCTGCCTCTGCCTCCCAAGCACAGGGATTAACCTTGTCAAGGAAGGGGGAGTCTAGGGAAGACTTCCTGGAGGCAATGACAATAAACGGCAAGCAGAGAGAAAGGAAGATAGGATAGGGGCTGAAGAGATGGCTCGGGCAGTGAGAGCACTCGACGCTCTGCGGAGGGCCCAGGTTTGGCTCCCAGCACCCACATGGCAGCTCACACAACCATCTCTAACTGCCGCTCCAGGGGATCTCATGCCCTCTTCTGGCCTCCACAAGCTTCTGCACACCTGTGGTACACAGACATACATGCAAAATACCCACATACATTAGTCTTTAAAAAAAAAAAATGCCGGGTGATGGTGGCGCATGCCTTTAATCCCAGCACTCGGGAGCCAGAGCCAGGTGGATCTCTGTGAGTTCAAGGCCAGCCTGGGCTACAGAGCGAGTTCCAGGAAGGTCAGGGCTACATGAGAAACCCTGTCTCGAAAACTCAAAAAAAGAGGTCTGAAGAATAAGCCCATTCATATGTGTGGGACCAAAATCCTACTTGTTACTGCAAGTGGGTGAGATTGGGAGAAGCAAAGACAGGCAAACTGTCGCTGTCCAGGAAGCTGGCATCCCACTCAGCTCTGTTCCTAGTTCCCTCTGTCTTTCAGGGGTCAGAGCTAGCGAACCATCGCAGACACCCTAGATCAGGAAAAGGGTGAACGAGAGGGCATCTCCGTGGTCTAAGAGCTCAGGGCAGCTTCTCGCACCATGTTGTCAATATTCTGCTGAAAGAGCATTGGCAACAAGAGGGGGCATGAGGTGACCCTGGGCCCTGCGGCAGGGTGGGGGAGTGCAGGAAGGGATTCCCTGGGCCAGAATGGCCAGAGTTCCTTGTCTATCTAGCCTAACACACTAAAAGACCAGTATCTATTCGTTTTGTTCTTAGGTGTGTGTACATGTGTATGAATGTAAGCGTGTGTTTGTAAGTGCACACATGAGCACATGTACATGAGGACCAGAGGACAATATCGAGTATCTTTCTTTTTTTTTTTTTTTTTTTTTTTTTTTTGGTTTTTTCGAGACAGGGTTTCTCTGTGTAGTTTTGGCGCCTTTCCTGGATCTCGCGCTGTAGCCCAGGCTGGCCTCGAACTCACAGAGATCCGCCTGCCTCTGCCTCCCGAGTGTTGGGATTAAAGGCGTGCGCCACCTCCGCCCGGCGTTTCGAGTATCTTTCTTAATCGTTCCCACCTTGTTTTTAGAGACAAGGTCTCTTGCTGGACTGACTAGCCAGCAAGCCCAAGAGACCTCCTGTCTCCACCTCCCCGCACTGGGATCACAGGCAGGTACCACTGTGCCTGGCTTTTCTGTGGGTGCTGGGGCTCTGACTCAAAGAGCCCCTTCTTTTCATGGCAGGCATTTTACAGATGGAGCTATCTCCCCTGCCCTACTTTATTTGTTTTCACAGAAACTCTGGGGCTGAAGTCATCAAAGTCACATGGGCCTGTGACATCACTGCACCAAACTCCTCAGATGATGCTAGGCCTGTGGCGGCTAGGTGGAAGTCCTGCTGTACACCACTGTGTGTGGAGAACCCCCTGGACTCAGTGAGGGGCTAGGTGGGAAAGTGGCTCCTTACCTGCCAGCTGTGCTCAAATGGGGCTCAGTGCCACTTACCGCCACCACAGGCCTGGATGAAGAACAACTTTGGTTTCCCGCCCAGGCTAGGGCAGCCAGTCCCATTGAAGATGTTCACAATTTTCTCTATGGACACGGAGCATCCATCTGTGCCATAGACAGCACCCGGGAACTGCAGGTGGCTGGCCTAGAGAACAAGGCACTTTGGTTATAAAAACAAGAAATCCAGAGGTCTGTCCCAAGCCTTTGTGTGGGAAGGTCAATATTCAGATGGCCCTAGGCAGGGACACCCATTGACAGAGATTGAGTGGGCTGTTTAGCATCGATTCCAAGGGGCCTGACTTGTTTAACTATGGGAGCCAAGGAGCCTGAGAGTACAAGCCAGCTGTGTCCAGACCAAGTGTTCCCACACCACCAGTATCAGCATCACCCAAAGACTTGCATAAAATGCTGGTTTCCAGGCCTCACCTAGACCTCCAAAGTCAGACTTCTAGTCCTCCAGCCCCTCTGAAGCAGCTAAACACAGAGCAGCATTTACTTTGTTGTTGTTATTGTGTGTGTGTATGTGCATATGGATGCCCACATGCACATGGGGATCAGAAAACAACTTGTAGGAGTCGGCTCTCTCACTACACCATACGGGTTCTGGGTTGCCAGGTTTGGCAGCAAGCACTTTTATCTGCTGGGCCATCTCGCTGGCCCCCAGTCCCTCAACTTAAAAGATGAAGAATCTGAGACCTGGGCAGGGGTAGGGACTTAGCCACTAGTGCATTAGTGGCCAAGCAGAAGACAGATCCTAACATCCTGTGTTCCACCCAAAAGTAAAGGGCCTGGAATATACAACATGGAGCACAGAGGAAGTGCAGGATGCAGCGGAGGTGAAGGATGCAGCGAAAGGATTGCTGCATTTGGTTTCTGAACTGGAGAAGACAGCTTTGTAGACAGGTCTTTCTTAATTCTTCCTTCCCGTATTGGACAGGGCTTGCCCTGTCCCACCCACGAAGGCAACTCCTCAGAGGCCCACAGGGCCCTGAAGACAGCAGAGTGAGACAGGGCCTCACTTCTTTCTCTCCAAAGCTAAGGGTACCATGGTCACAGAAGGGGCATTGCTACTGCAGGGCCTGTCAAGGCTCAAGAGGAGAGGCTTTCTACCTGGCAGCCATGAGAGAGGATGACCACCACAAAGCAGTCCAGGGCATGGTGGTCCCGCTGTGCCATCTCCACCAAAGCCGCGACCATTTTCTACAAGGGAAGGTAGCAGGTAAGACAGAGGCACCAATTGAGATCTGGCCTGCAGGTTCCAGCCAGAGGCCATGACACAGCACTGCTCCCAATACTGAAGTTGTGATGGGCACAGTCAACAACATACTGGCGCCATTTGGGGGAAAAGATGCTATGCGTGGTCACCGGCCATTTGATCTCCATCATAGTTTTACAACAATGATTACTTGCTTCCAAACAGGGAAACTGAGGCATAAGCGGTCAGGGGGTAGGCACTGAGAAAGCCAATCCTCAGACTCTCTTTCTCTAAGTCTGATGTTTGAACCCACAGCCAGCTGCCCATGTCACTTCCCACAGTCCTATGGACATAGAGGCTTGTCTGGGGCGTGTCCCTCACGGGACAGTGACTGACCTTAGCAGTCAGGTCATTCTTCACCTCCACCATGAAATGCAGCCAGCGGAAGCGGTGCTGAAGCCTCTCACAGTCCACACTGGAGCCAGTGCGGGTGCTGAGCCCCGAGGAAGGGCAGAAGTTCACATTGTTGATGATGAGGCAGTGGCCACAGGGGTCCGCATCCAGGGTGTATGCCTGCACAACGACAGATTTCCAGTGTCATGGGGGGGGGGGGGCCTCAGTGCACTCTTCAGGAGAGGCAGTCAAGAGCACTGGCTGCTGTTGTAGAGGACTTGGGTTCAATTCCCAGAGCTACATGGTAGCTCACAGCTGTCTATAACTCCAGTTCCAGGGGATATGACACCCTCTTCTGGCTTCTATGGGCATTGCAGACATGTGATGCACAGACATACATGTAGGCAGAACACCCATACACATAAAATAACAAAACAAAACAAAACAAAAAAACAATCAACCCAGACACATTCACCCCAAAGGGACTTTAAATACCATGCAACTTATCGGCACTGGCCCAGGGCTCGCCTGAGGGGTACATGATAGGTTCTGTCACGGCAATCTCAGGCCAGGGCCACATTCTGATCTCCTGAGACAGCCTTCACGCCAGGCTCAGACCCAGGAACTTCCTCTTCCATGGCCTGTCCATGGGTCTGATCACTCTAAGTGAATATTCCTCTGCCTGACTTATCTCTCCCCAGCACAGGGCTCTGCAGGTTAAGTGGTCCTTGTCCCCAACAAGGAGAACGCCAGCAGCACATGGGAGCCAGAGGGTATATACATGGGAAGGACAGCCTGCGAGGCTTGCCCTGGAGCGGACATCCTCCGGGAAACAGCTCTTCTTTAGGTTTCAAACCTGACTTTACAGGGGCGGATGGGCAGGATGGGTGGGACAGAGCGCTCCAGCTGGGGTCAGAAGCCACGGAGAGTGGTGACTGGAACCAAAGTTCCCCAGCCAGGCAGGGTTCCTCAGCTCCTAGCTCAGCCAAAGGGAAGGACTTGGGGAAAAGATCAACTTTAAGTATACGAGGACTCACCATAGCTGTATGACCCTTGATCTGCTCTGGAGCACCTGCAGAACAAGATAGAAGAAGAATGTGGGTGCTGGGGTTCAGCTGGGAAAGGCCAAGGACCTGTGAAGACAGTCCCCACAGCAGGACTTCAGAAGAGGAAAGTCAAGCGACACAGCCACCATGGAGAAGTGTCCAACAGTCGCCAACATTAAACACACACTTCCACCCTTGAAAAGAGTTGACCAAGAACGTTCACTAAGGTCTTATTCAAAAACCTCAAAGTCCCCCACTCAGGGGGACATCCTCAAGAGAAGCCAACTAATGATCCACACAATGCCCTGGGTAACCCAGAGAGCAGAAGGCTATGTTAGAAACAAACAAGCCAGCCACTGAAATACAGACCACATGACTCCATTTCTATGAACTCCATAGCAGAAAGGAGTAAGGGAGGTGGGGTGAGGGATAGAGAGATAGTTCTGTGCACAAGAACAATGGCTGCTCCTGTGGAGGATCCAGGTTCGGGTCCCAGCAAACACACACAGCAGTTCCCATTCATCCTTAACTCCATTTCCAAGGGATCTGGCACCCTATTATGGCCTCTGTGGGCACCAGGCATGCATGCAGTACACATACATGCAGGCAAAACACTCATAGATATAGAATAAAAATAACAAATAAACCTATACAAGTTTCTGCTCCAAGTTCATGCCTTGTATTCCTGCCCTGACTAGTCTGTAACTCCAGGACCAGGCAAACTGATGCCCTCTTCTGAACTCCAATGCACTCATGTGGACATACCCACATAGAAATACACATAATTTTTAGAATAGAATAAAAATATAATCTTAAAGAAAGAATAACCCAGCTGGGTGGTGGTGGCACACACCTTTACTTCCAATACTCAGGAGGCAAAGGCAGGCGAATCTCTGTGAGTTCAAGGATAGCCTGGTCTACAAAGTGAATTCTAGGACAGGCACCAAAAACTACTCAGAGAAACCCTGTTTCTAAAAACCAAAAAGAAAAAGAAAAAAAGAAAGAATAACCCTTGTGTCTATCAACAAAAAAAAAAGTGTGTTAAGTGCTTGTCACACACAATGAAGACCTGAGTTCCATCCCCAGAGCCCACATAAAAAACCCCGGCACAGTGGCACATAACTCCAGCACTGCAAAGGCAAAGACATACAAGCAGGTCCCTGGGGCTCACTGGCTAGCCTAGACTCTTCTATCTATCAGTTCCAGGCCAGTGAGAGACCCTGTCTCCAAAATCAAAGTGGGGAGGGGACCAGAGAGAAGGCTCAGTAGTTAAGAGTACTTACTGCAGCTGGGCAGTGGTGGTGCACACCTTTAATCCCAGCACTTGGGAATCAGAGGCAGGTGGATCTCTGTGGGTATGAGGCTAGCCTGGTCTACAGAGCTAGTTCTAGGAAAGCCCAGGCTACACAGAGAAACCCTGTATCAAAAAACAAAACAAAACAAAAACAAACAAACAAAAAAGAGTGTTCACTACTCTTACAGGAGCCCTGGATCCAGTTCTCAGTACCCATGTAGTGGTTTACAACCACCTGTAACTAGTACAGGATACCCGCCACAGTCTTCTGACTTCTGTGGGTTTCTGCACTCATGTAGTACACATAAACACACACACACATTCACATAAAACAAATATTTTTAAAATAAAAGTGAAGTTGGATGTTTTCTGAAGAATGACACCCAAAGTTGTCCTCTGACCTACTGACACATGCGCTCCTGCACAAATGGCGCGCGCGCGCACACACACACACACACACACACACACACACACACACACACACACACACGGAATAAATAACTTCAGGTAATTCAGAATGGGAACTACTGCTACCTAGCACTGAAAAAGAATGAACTGTAGGTCTGCACAACACCACGACTGGAATGCAGATATGATGGGTGAAAGATGCCGACTCACCTAAGGAAGGATTTCATTCTCACTGATGTACAAAGATAAGCAAAAATGACAGACATCGACGAGCCCACAACAGCAATGACCTCAGCTGCAGGAGTGGGTACTGACTGAAGAGACAAGGTCTCCTAGGATACTAAAATGTCCTGTAATGTGACGGTGTGGGATGTGGCAACCCGTGTGCACACGCACTCAGGTAAAAACCTTCCAGCTGGGGTGTATGCTTTTCACTGCATGCTGTTGTCATCTCTGGACAAATTATTTCACCTTCCTGGCCCTGGGCTTACCGGGCTGAATCTAATGGTATCTACCTTGCAGGGCTGCAGGGAGGTAGGGGGACACATCATGGGATACATATGTGTAGAGGGCAGAGTCCTAACAAACAGCTTCTGTCAGGCGTGGGTACTTTCCGTCATCCACCAGAACCCAAAGGCAAACCCTGAGCAATAGCTCCTTCTGGAAACACTCAGAGAAACAAGGAGCATCCAAAACAAACTCTTGCTTTTCAGATGGACTGTCAAAATGACATCTTCTATAGAATGATTGGAATATTCCACGCATCTCCTATGAGCATTCACTAAGACAAATACTAGAATTAAATACTGAATCTCGACCCACCAATTTGTACCCAGTCACCCCCCAAATAACCTCACTGCACGTACCCAACAACCATTCTCTCAATACTCACAGACATCATGAGTTCTGCCAGAACCACTGTCCACTGGCCTGGGTGTTTCTGGTCTGAGAACCTCTGGCCTGAGCCGAGCAGGCCAGAGCTCTTCCGGCCCCAGCACCACTGGGGTGAGGTTTCCCAGGGCAGGTGGCGATGGGTCCGGCTTCACGACTCTCTGCTCCTTTGGCTTGAGTCCCATTGGTCCCAGGACCACAGGTACCAGGTGGTCTGTGGGTTTAACAGCCTCTGGATCCTGCTTGGCTGCTTGCCGACTGGTTCGCAAGAATGAAGCCAGGGTGTTTTGGCCTGTGTCCTCTAAGCAGGAGATGAAGAGAGGGAGGGCCTGCCTCCCTCGGGTCTCAAGATCTGTGACCAGCTGCCTGGCCTGATCCCGCCGAGACCCAGAGCCTGCCCGCTGTTTGGATAGAAAAATCAGACACTCATTACCCAGGGACTTTTGTTGACTCTCACCATCTCCCTCCCACTTCTCATCGAGCATAAGCCTGGGGCAGGTGGGCAGAAACTAATCCAGCAGCGTACTGAATGCATGTCCGACCCTCTGTGGCCTTTGCTTGTCTATCTACTGCAGTGCTTTCAAAGACGCCTACTGTGTGTCCAGCACTGTGCTAAGTGCTAATTAGCCCTACTAAAGGTAGCAAAGTGGTGGCCAATGGTTTACATGAGTTACTTAACTTTTCTAAAATTGTTGCTAACATTTAAGTAAGTAAGGGAATTGAATACAGAAATCAAGATTTCCAGCCTCTCCTTTTTGGAGGAAAGAGGTTGTTTTGCTTTGTATGGGGAGTGGTGGTAGTTCATTTTTGTTTTGGGGCAGGGAAAAGTTCTCAAGTAGCCAAGACTGGCTTTCAAATTCCTTCATAGCTAAGGATGACCTTGAACTTCTGACTCTCCTGCTCTTGCTTTGGTTTTGCTTTTAAATGTGTGTGTGTGTGTGTGTGTGTGTGTGTGTGTGTGTGTGTGTGTGTGTGTGTGTATTGTGTGCTGGGTCCCTGAGGAAGCCAGAAGAGGGTGTCATATCCCCTGGAACTGGAGTTACCACCCTGACTGTCCTAGAATTCTCAGAGATCTGCCTGCCTCTGCCTCCTGAGAGCTGGGACTAACAGCCTGTGCCACCATCTGGCTGATTTTATTAATTGGTAATCACATGATTCTGAACTACTTTCTTCTATTTCTCTTCACTGGACCAGACCAGGTTCTTAGATGATAACACAGAGGCCCCAAGGGCCTGCCACTCATAGGCTCTCAGGAAGAAATATTTCCTTTTCAAGCCTGTGTTGTGGGGTCAACTGGAACAAGAATGCTGAAGTGTATTTCTTTCTTTCTTTTTTGTTTCTGTTTTGTTTTGCACTTCTGAGACAGGGTTTCTCTGTGTAGCCTTGGCTGTCCTGGAACTCACTCTCAAATTCAGAGATCCTCCTGCCTCTACAAGTGTTTTTTTGTTTTTTTCTGAGACAGGGTTTCTCTGTGTAGCTTTGCACCTTTCCTGGAACTATTCTGTAGCCCAGGCTGGCCTTGAACTCTAGACATCCGCCTGCCTCTGCCTCCTGAGTGCTGGGATTAAAGGCGTGCACCACCACCGCCCGGCAAGTGTATTTTTTTTTAAGATCAAATGTTGTTTTATTCTTCTGTTACCTACATCAAATCCCTTTTTGCCCCCAAAATCCTTCATAAAGCATGCACTTGATACATAAAGGCCTGACCAAAGAAGACAGGGCATGCTGGGTCCAGGTGTTGTGTCCCACACAGAAGTGCTTCACCACTGTTATCTCACTCGCCCTAGGAGAGGATGGCCACTGTTCCATTTCACAGCCCAGGAAACTGAGGCTCAAAGAGGGTAAGTGACTGGTACAATGCGCCAGTGCAAGGCTAAGGTGCCTAGGGCTCTTATACTTGAGCAGGAAAAATAACCACCTACTTTCTCGAGAGAGATCCAAGTATTAACATGGTGCAGTTTAGAGTCGCTTTAGCAAACACTCCTCAAAAGAGGTGCTTGGGGTTTTTGTATTTATTCTTCCGGACTCCATAAGAATCTGGAGGATTAACGGGGCCGAATTCTGGAAGGTTTTGAAAATGAAGTTCCCACGCCATGGTTTCCCATGGCGCACGGTGCAAGGCGGTGAGAGGAGGGCAGGAGCTCCGAGGTGGCTTCAGCGAATCTCCTAGTCCCCATCAGCGCCGCAGGAAAAACTGGGGACGCAAGGGGGCGGGGCGCACCTGGATATCCTCGATCATGTCCCGAGTGAAGAGCTCTCGACTCAGCAGAGCGTCCCAGATCTCGGCGACTTGCAGCTCGCCCACTAGGCGCACCCGACATCGCCGCAGGAGCTGCCGGTCCGCTTCGTCCATGGCGGGCCGATTACGGTACCCCGGGTTCCGTCCGCTTCCGGCCCTTGGGTCCCGCCCCCGCACCCACGCTCCGCCCCCATATCGCCCTAGCAAGGGATCCCGCCCGGAGGAGGCCTTGCGGGCCAGCGGTCATTGAGACTCATCCACGAGGCTCCGCCCGGCCCCAAGGCCCGTCCCTGGCGCCCACTCGGCTCCGCCTCCCCAGACACCTCACAGCACACCCACCATCCTCCCACCTCCACCTCCCACTCTCCCCCTCCCTCTAACGCGCTCTCGGCCCCGCCCCGGCACTTCGCCACGCCCTAAGATGTTCCAGCCACGCCCCCGGCCCCTTCAAGCCCCGCCCTGGCACTGCACTTCAACACCCTAAGACCTGCCCCACGTGATATTGCTCCGCCCCTAAGACTCGCCCCTACGTCGACGTTCCTCCGAGCCTCCTGGACCAACACCCGGGTCCTACGATGTTCCTTGGCCCCGGCCCTAGGCCCGCCCTCCCCCTCCAGGGTTCTTCCCTCTCAACCCCGCCCCTAGGACCCGCCCCCATTCTGCTGCTCAGTCCCTCCCCTGGTCGGGCACTCAGGCCCCACCCCACATCTTTTTTCCATACCGTGCTATATGGTCACGGACCTAGCCTAGCTCTCAGGTCCCGCTCCTGCTCCCTCGCCCCGCCTCTAACACCTCCCACGTAACATTGCTCCGCCCCCTTAGGACACCCCCACGTGACTTTCCGTCCAGCCCGCCCGCCCGCCCGCCGCGTTCCTATCACGCCCCCAGGACTCTCTAGGTACTAGGCTGTGTGGTCCTGTTGCTTCCTTGCACCTTTCTTCTTAGCAGCTGTGGCACCTTTTCCCCGGACGTAGCGACCCTACTTCTACAGACACTCAAAAGGTCACACTTACTGGCAAGAAGAAAGGAAGCCATGTCTAGAGATCTGTTCCACATCGTTCAAGCCCCTTGCTGGTTGTGGCTTTTTTGTAAAGCCCCATCCTTGCGGCTAGTGAAACCTCAAGTCTCCCTCCTTGTCCACTACTCCGTGTGTTGCTTCGCACTATCGTGAGTCATTCAAATAATTCCACACAGAGTTCCATCTCCCTCTCCTCTCCTTCCCTCCCTACCACCTCCTTCGGAGAAACTGCCAGGAATCTGGTCCTCTCTTCTCTCGGTTTTGTACCACTCATCTCACGTATCAAAAGCAAATGAGCATTGTGCTAGCCACTTTACACTCCTTATGTTATTTATCCCTGCCACATTCCTAACAGGAAAACAACAATGGCAACCAAAATAAAAATAAATAAATAAAAACTAGCGTGAATGACTGACTCCATATTGGCCTGTTGGGGGTATTGCAGGAGCTCGATTACTTATAGGTCACTTGAGCAGCACAACCTTAGGCACTGGAACGTAAGTAGAACTCAATGGTAGAGCGCTGCCGAGCACACATGAGGTCCTCACTTCATTCCCCACACGGGCGGGGCGTGTGAGGGTGTCGTAGGCTTTAGCTTCATTTTTTCAATTATTTTGCAAATATTAAAACATTCATTGGTAGCTTGTACATGCCAAGGTCAATTGAGACGGTGTTACAGTGCTGAACAGACCCTACCTATGGGAGCTTACATTCCCGGAAGAACCAGGCAACAGACGATATGGAATAAATAAGTAAAAGATACAGCCGGGTATGGCAGCACTCGGGAGGCAGAAGCAGGTAGAGGCCTGCCTGGTCCACCTGGCGAGTTCCGGGCCAGCCAAGGACACACAGGGAGACCCTGGGAAACAAACAATTAAAACAGCATGCTAGATTTAGTGATAAAAGCAAACTATTACATAAGATCTCAACACGAGGCATACATAGCATAGAAAATACATCCCCAGAGACCTCGATCACAGACGCAAAAAATGTCAACCTTATTCACCACACCCCCTTCCCAGTGCTTGCTTAAGTCCCAGTCTAGAACATTCTTGATGATAAACAGTATTTTGAGTCTTGAATTCTAGGCTTTGGGCAAGTCTTTGGCCCTCTCTGAGCCTCAGTACATGGAGAGGTGAACTAGAAAGAATCCCTAAGGTCGGCTCCAACTCTGACGCTCTAGGATTCTATGAATAGGGTTAAAGTGAACTGGGACCAGCGACTGCGTCCCCGTCCTAGCAACTGTTGCTAGACGTAGGCCATCTTCTGGCAACCAGTGGAAACCCCTCCCCGGTTCCGGGAGGTCTTCCTGGCATCCCGTGATGCTTAGCGACTCCGCCTCGCTAGAAGGCACGTTCTGGCCTCGCTGGTCAAGATCAAGCCTTCGGACCCAGCAGAAGAGCGCGCTCCGTTCCTATAGCAACCACGCCAGATCCGCGTGCCTACGGTGACTGGCAGCGGCCAAAAAGTTCGCCTAGCACAACCTGGCCTGTGCGCGCTTTCGGAGTGCGGCGTCTTTAAATGTCACGTGACGGTTCGAGCCTGGGCCCCGCCTCTTTCTCCTCCCCAGGTGCTCTGGTGTGGACTGGAAGCGCCGGCCCCGGCGGATTCACTGGAGCACGGACGCTGCGGCCGGTTGGGCCGGTGCCCTTTCCCGGTAACTCCTTCCCGGCGTGACGCGCGGACGCGGCGGGGCCCGACAGGCTCGGTGATCTCCCGTCAGTTCCTCCGCGTCCTCAGCCCGCGCTGGGCCCTGGGGGACCCGGGAGCCGACAGGAACCGGGGCGGCGGGGGAGGGGGCCGCCTCCCGGAAGGTCGCGACCCGGGCGAGCGCCCGAGGCGGAACTTGGTCCTGCAGAGCCTCCGGGGAGCCGCCGCCGCCTGCCTTTGGGGACGCCGAGGGCTACCTGTTGGCCAGTGCGTCCCCTGCACTGAGGCCGGCCCCCTGGAGCTGGAGAGTGCCAGCCAAAGAACTTCCCCACCGCACCCACCCAGCCGGGCTGGTGGATTCTGCTTAGTAAACCCCTTACCCACTTCACTCTTCCCTACCCCCGCCCATGAATATCCTTCTAGGTGCTAGTGTTCAGTCCCACCCTGTCAGCAAGAACACAGGTTTAGGCCCTAGAGTGGTGGTGGACAGACCCCCACCCCAACCTAATCCCAAAGCCAGGTGAGCTCGGAACAGGTTGTCTTAAGGGAGAAACTGGCTTGCTTGTGTATTTTACTTAGCGTGTGTACAGTCCTAAACAGTGGCCAGCTGGTCTGTGAAGACTCCCCTACAGCGTTTGTCTTGCACCTGTCAAAATCCACCCTCCTGAGTAAGGTGCCAGCCACTGAACCTTAACACTGTGAGGTCAAGATAAATGTGATCCATGAACACAGTGTGTGGTATAAAAGATCATAGCCCTGTGTGTGTCCCCAATACCACACCATCTCATCAACCAGCCAAGATTATTCCAAAACCCACATTGAGTTGAACCCTTCAGCGGAGTTGGAGTTTAAACATTTTAAAGCCATTTTTTCTTAACCACTTTTTCATAGCTGAAGTTTCCATGGTCAATAACCAAATTGCTAACCGGATTAAAGAACAGCTTCTTATTTTCTTCTTTGAATGAACACGGTGAAAAACTAATAGCAGGCTTACTGAACATGACTGCACAGTTATTTTTAAACCGTTTTACTTAAGTATTTATTTAGTGCCCAGAAATGCCACATTGATCCCAGACTGTAATTTAGTACATGATAAGTTGGATGATGAATTTATGAGTTTATTTCTGAAGCCAATAATTCTAAGTTTATTGTAAGGACAGATGGAATTGTGCATTTGCGATGCAGTCTCCTGGTCATCCTGAATATATTCTCACGGTTGCTACTTATTTCAGTTCGTCCATTTTTAGTATTTTTTCGTTTTGTTTTTCAAGAGAGGGTTTCTCTGTGTAGCCCTGGCTGTCCTGGAATTTGCTCTGTAGACCAGACTAGCCTTGAACTCAGAGATCTGCCTGTATCTGCCTCCTGAGTGCTAGGACTAAAGGTGTGAGCCACCACTGCCCAGCTTGGGTTTTGTTTTGTTAGGATAGAGTCAACTAGATTGACATATTCCCATTAAAAAAAAAATCTTTTAATTCTTTATATTTGTATCTCCTCACCTAAAAAAGCAAGACTGTCCAGGTTTCTGCCTCTGGAACTTACAGTGACCTCTTACTATTTCAGCTCTGGGAAGGAAGAGAGATGGAGGTGAGAAAGCTGGGCGTTTCCTGGCAGTTCTGGATAGTTCTCTTTCTGACCCTGCAAGGTCTGTCTGCGTTGGATTTTGACCCATACAGAGTCCTGGGGGTCAGCCGCACAGCCAGTCAGACTGACATTAAAAAGGCGTATAAGAAGCTCGCCCGGGAATGGTATGTGAAACCAAGAATGGAAGTTTAACCTACGCTAAGCAGTCAGCAGCTGGCTGAAGCCTAAATTACGATGGCTTTTCTGTCTGTTTCTGTGTTCAATATATATAGCTGTCTAAAGTATTGGTGTTCAGCTAACAGCCTGTGTTCCATCATTTCTAGTGATCACAAAACCTGTGTTTACTTTGACACACACACCCTTCATGAATGGCTTAGAGCATTGTCTTAGATACTGTTAGGATATTTAGTGTTAAAGTAAGAAGTAACTTTGAAGCCAGGTGTGGTGGCGCATGCCATTAATCCCAGCACTCAAGAGGCAGAGGCAGGCAGATCTCTGTGAGTTCGAGGCCAGCCTGGTCTACAGAGAGAGTTCCAGGACAGTCAGACCCACACAGAGAAACCCTGTCTTGAAAAAAACCAAGAAAAAAGAAGTAACTTTGATTTAAAAAAAAAAAAAAAAAAAAGTAATCAAACTGAACATGGTACCCTACACTTCCCAGCACTCGGGAGGCAGAGGCAGAAGGCTCACCCTCCCTGAGTTGAGGACAGCCTAGGCTGCCTGGCAAGGTCCCGGTTCACTAGAGCAAATAAAGAAGGAAAACAGTCAACAGTGATTAGATGCCTTTCTTGGAGACAGGGTTTTCTCTGTGTAGCCCTGGCTATCCTGGAACTCTCTCTGTAGACCAGCCTGGCCTTGAACTCAGAGATCTGCCTGCCTCTGCCTCCCAAGTGCTGGGATTAAAGGTGTGCACCACCATGCCTGACCTATAAAGTAATTCCGGTTTTTAAAGGTATTATTTTTAATTATGTGTATATATCTGAAGAGAAGATGGAGTTACAGGCAATTGTGAGTGGCCTGATGTGAATACAGGAACTGAACCCAGATCCTCTGTGAGAGCAGCAAGTACTCTTAAGCACCGAGCCATCTCTCCAGCCCCTATAAAGCATTTTTTATGGGTATAAATGCTATAGGGAATGTTATACAGTTCTGCTCTCTAACTCTCTATGCTTTAGAAAAGTTTAAAATAAGTGCTTTGGCCTCCAGTTTTAAAAGGAGATTCAAGAACCAAGTGTATTACTTTTTTAAAAAATCTTTAAGAGAGCTGTCAGAATCTTTTTTGAGACAGGGATCTTACTATGTAGCCCTATCTGGCCTAGAACTTGCTATGTAGATCAGGCTGACCCTGAATCGTCGGGATCCCTGCCTCTGGAGTGTTGTGTGTGCTCATGAGAACTATCACAATTTCACCTGTTGTTTTCAGGATTATAATTAGAGAGGAGCAGTAGTGTTAAACTTATCTGGGGCAAACTTCTCTCAGGATAGCTTTGGCCAAGCCAGAGAGGCACAAGTGTTAAGTAGCCCCAGAGAGAGGAACGGGAGTGTTATTATTGAGCACCTACTACCTGCACACCTCCGTGTTCTCTTTCTCATTGTACCCATTTGATTAGCCCATGAAAAAGATGTTTGAACACGATATACAAATAGAAAGGTCAAAGCTCAGACTTGGTAAACCTGTATTGCCTTTGGCTTTGCAATCACTTGCCCATTTGTGCATGGGTAAGGCTGAGCAGGCTAGTGCTTTGGCGGGAAAGAGTGTCAAGTCGGGCAGCTGCAAAGCAGCCCTAAGTAGATGAGTCTGTAACCTTGCCTGGCTCTGCCTGGCACCATTCTTCCTCACTGAGCAGATTTAGCTTGATTCTAAACTAGTTGTGGTAAAGGTCAAAGGTCGTTTATAATGTTATGAATACATATTTGGGGCTATATTCATATCATGAGGAATCTAGAATTGGATGCTGAAACACATTGTCGAATAATGCATGGCCTCTTTCCAGTAATTCTCTGCCAAATTGGCTTTCAGTAATATTTCAGGGCCATGCCTCTCTGTGCTTAAATCAAAATGACAATCTGTAGTTATTTCAGAAATAACAGCCTTTGGACAGGATATATAGCCTTGGCTGGGTAGAATGCTAGCTTAAGGATCACGTGGGACCTACTGCAGTGGGCAGCTGTGACTTTTCTATCTGGAGCTTTAAAAGGTGTTCTGCTGTTGGCTAACTGAACTGTGTCCTTTTCCTCCTGTTGGAGTCTCTTGGAGTAATTCATGACCATGCAAATGAACAGTGTTGGCTCTGTGCATTGAAATCGTATTCTACTTGCACGTTTGTACCGTCTTCCTGTTTTCTCCCCGTTGGGCCTTGGCAGTGTTTTCTCACTTCCGTTAGTCTGTGTCTCCTCTAGAAGGATTCGTAGAAACACTGGAAGTGGCATTACAGCCCCACTTGACTTCCAGAACGATCCAAGGCAGAGGAAATGGTTAGCAGTCAGACCATTTTTGCCAAGTGCTTTCCTAAGTGTTTCTTAGACCTCACAAAAATTGTTACTTGTTGGTGAAACCATGTGAAATGACTGTGTTTTCTGTCAGGAAAACTATTTCTTGCCCAAGAGTTGTCTCATCATGGGCACTTTTATCTGCCACCCATGCTAGCAGAGTGCCTAAGGCCCCCAGAAGAGAAGCAGAAGGTGATTGGCCAGCTAAGGTGCACCAATCACCTCATTCTTACTGAAATTACTTCTTTGCATCTCCATCTTTATTCCTTTAGAGGTCACGCTGACAGTCAAGCCCATGCACAGTGTTTCCTTCACTATGAAATTCAAAGTTTGCCTGGCATGAGGCAGCTCATGAATCTGTCTCACTCCCTGAACACAACATTGGACAATACTCCCCTAGGGCTGAACTTCCCTTTTCCAAGTACTTGCAACTTTGAGAGGTCTCCACCTTTCAGTTCAGACTGTCAAGTGCCTTCCAAGGTTCTCAGCTGACCTCTCCTACCCAGCTGCCGCAGACCCTGCCTCAGTCTCCTGCAAAGTCTCTCCCGCTCTTCCTGCCCTGTGTAGCTCTTCCTGTCAGTCATCATTTGCAAGCTTGCACAGTTTTATCCGCTCCTCCTCTAACCTGATTTGAATATTAAAAGCCCTTTATTTTGGTCAACCAGAAACATGCTTTGGAGCCGCCATCCCGTCCCCTCAAGTCCTGCTGTTTTCCTTGTGCCTACCTGACACTTTTTAACCTCAGTGATATAGTTAATGCAAGGATTCAGTGCAGAAGCGCATGGTGGAATCCAAGTTCAAGTCATATGAAGTTGCTTGTTTTTAGAGAGTGAAATGTGGGATATAAACCACTCAGACATTCCTGCTCAGATAAGTTTACTGAATTGTAGATTTTTTTTTGCATGCCTTTAACCCCAGCACTTGGGAGGCAGATGCAGGTGGATCTCTGTGAGTTAAAGGCCAGCCTGGTTAGAAACCTTGTCTGGGGGGCGTGTGGGGGGGGAATAAATGGGTCTAGGCTTAGTGGTGCACACCTTTAATTCCAGTACTTAAAGGGCAGAAGCAGGTGGATCTCTGAGTTTGAGGTCAGCCTGGTCCACAAAGAGGTCCAGGACAGCCAGGGCTATATAGAGGGACCCTGTCTCAAAACAACAGCAAAGAATAAGTGGGGCTGGGTGTGGTAGAACAGGCCTGGGACCCCAGCTCTCATGATGCTGAGGCAGGCAGGCAGATGAAGAGTTGGAGGCCAGCCTGAGCTATATACCCAGCTCCTGTGTCAAACAGTCACAGAGTCTCTTCATGTCATGACCGTTGAAATTCTTTATGAAAGTCTGATTTCAGTCTTAGAAGACAACAAGGAAGCAAATGGGACCACTCTCCAAGACCAAAAAAATCCCCAAAGCTGCCAAGGTGAGGCGGTGCACACCTGCAGTCCCACACTCCAAGGTAGAGGCAGGAGGCTCAGGAATTTATAGCCAGCCTTGGCTACCTGAGACCATGTCTCAAAAAACAGTTTTCGTCCCCAGAGCAAACGTCACTGTAAAGATGAAAAGACGCAGAATAACACAGCTTCAAGTGGAAACAGCAAGTTCTGAGATTAGCTGAAATCACCCTGCATGGACTCTCCGCTTTCTCACAGCTTAATAAACACATGGCCTTGAAAGCATTACCCATTGGTAGGGAAAAGTAGCCAGTCACAGGTAGAGTGGGATCAGCAGGGCAGTGGCAGAAACTGGGGTTCTGATCTGAGCGTGAGCAGCAGGCATGAGCAATGTGACCATCACCTCAGGGCTGCAGCTTTGCCAGCACCCCTACCTGTGTTCAGGGGAAAAACTAAAACACCTGCGAGACCAACATGATGCAGGGAGGGAACACTCCTGTCTGGGGACAGCATGAATAGCTGGTTTAGCCTCCAGCCCTCTTCAGTTGTGCTTGAGATGAGGATGAGGGTACGTATGTGCCGCCTCTCAGCATGCTGCGGTGCTCTGTGGTGCTTTGAAAGTGTGCTCAGCTAGAGCATCTTGAGAGGAAATTTCCTGTGCTTAAGTTGCATTTTTTTGTGGTCATGTGAAGCAACTGATTGTTTCCACCATTTATTTTAGAGAACAGTCCTAACCAAACCACCTTCCCCTTGCTTCTCCGATGTTGTGAGCTGTGTATAAAGTTATAAAGTGATCATGCATAAAAAATTCTCTCCTCACTGGTGCCGTCTGTGTTTCAGGCATCCTGACAAAAACAAAGACCCTGGAGCCGAGGACAAGTTCATTCAGATCAGCAAGGCCTACGAGGTACCATGTCAGATGCTCCAGTGCCTCTGCTAGCATCTAGAAAATGGGGTGGAGGGGCTAGGGATGGCTCAGCATCTCAGCCATACAAACGGGAGGCCCAAGTTCAGATCTGCAGAAGCCACCAAAGGCCTGATGGGCTTGGAAGGCCACCTGCAATTGCAGTACTCGGAAGGCTGAGAAAGGGTCCCCAGGGCAGCCGGCTAGTTAGGCTAGCCTTGGTGAGAGCTCTGGGTTGGGTTGAGAGACTCTGGCTCGGTGAGTCAGTAAGGTGCAGCTTTGGGCTTCCACAGCACATGAGCTCACATACATGCAAACAGAAATGCAGACACATACACAGAGCAAAACAAAAGGAACACAGGCCGAAGGTGATCAGTACCATACCATCCCCTCAGCAGGGCACATTCCCCACACCCTGACCCAGTTTCCTCACGATGGTAGAGAAAATCGCTTTGCCCCTCCAACATGTTGAAGCAGGTGCCTGGATGTTTCAGCTCCTGGAAAACCTGGCCCACTTTGAAAGCTTTAATTAGAATTGTGCAATTACCCAGAGCAGATGTCTGTTATGACTGTAGAGACTTAGGTTAAAGAATCACACACCAGTTTGCCTGGTTACACAAGGCTGCAAATAACTTTAAAACACAAGATTTTTGGTAAGTCTCCAACATGTCACCTTAAATAGCATGACCTAGAATACACGTAAGCAGTGAGTCTTAGCTGCCTGACTTGTCAGGGTAATGTGCTTCAGCAAATAGTACTTAGGCTGTACAGTGACTCATCACCCTAAAAAGATTACCGAATTTTAGTCTTCAAAGTTACAGTTCAGTAAAACAAAGTCGGTGGGGAAATTGCTCAGTGGGTAAGGGCTCCTGCTGCCAAGGCCAAAGGACCCAAGCAGTGGAAGGAGAGCCCTGACTCCTGCAAGCTGTCCTCTGACCACACACCTGTGTTCTGGCAGACAGTAAGTAAACGTAAATGCAAAAACTGAGGTCAGCTCATGCACAAGGCACTGGACTCTACTCTTTGGTTACTTTTTGGTATTCAAGCCTACAATACCTTGGTCCAAATGATTTCAACCGCAAAGACACAGCCAGGGTAATTTTGTGATGGATCCTGGTGATGTCATTATGTCGGGTCTTCTTTGTTACTTGTTTGCTAGTATTTACTGAGATGGTTAACAGCCTTAATGTCAGCATGAGTGTGGAGATCTCAACAAATGAAATTTGAGGGTTTTATGTTTCTGTTTGGAGGTTTGAGATTAACTTATTTATTTTGTGTATGTGTGTATTTTGTGGGTTTCTAAGCTCCACAGCACTCATGTGGAGGTCAGAGGAAAACTTGCCTGAGTTGGCTCTCCTGCCGTGTGGATTCTAGGGATGGTCAGGTCATGATCTCCCCCTCCTTTCCTCCCTCCCCTTGCTGGAGGTTGAACCCAGCATCCCTACTATATGTTTATTAGAAATGTACTTGTGTCTTTCAGGCTGCTTACAGAAAAGCCATGTGGGGCTGGCGTGGGGCTCAGTGGTAGAGGGCTTGCCAGGGCACACAAGGCCTGGCTTCAGTCCTCAGTCCTGAAAGAAGAGAAGGGAAAGGAAAGGCCTTTGGTAAACCACTTCCTCCTTTAGACTCCTTGTCTTCTTGCTTGTAGATTCTGTCCAATGAGGAAAAGAGGACGAACTACGACCAGTATGGAGACGCTGGTGAGAACCAGGGTTACCAGAAGCAGCAGCGTGAGTACCGCTTCCGCCATTTCCATGAGAACTTCTATTTTGATGAGTCCTTTTTCCACTTCCCCTTCAATTCGGAGCGGCGGGACTCGATTGACGAGAAGTACTTGCTGCACTTTTCCCACTATGTGAACGAAGTGCTTCCCGACAGCTTCAGGAAGCCCTACCTCATTAAAGTCACGTCCGATTGGTGCTTCAGCTGTGTCCATATCGAGCCTGTCTGGAAAGAAGTGGTCCAGGAATTGGAAGGATTGGGTAAGTCATCCTCGTTAGGATTCGTTTATACAAGAGGTGACACTGGTCATGCTTTTTCTTTTCTTTTTAAGATTTATGTGTTTTGCCGGGCGGTGGTGGCGCACGCCTTTAATCCCAGCACTCGGGAGGCAGAGGCAGGCGGATCTCTGTGAGTTCGAGGCCAGCCTGGGCTACAGCGCGAGATCCAGGAAAGGCGCAAAGCTACACAGAGAAACCCTGTCTCCAAAAACCAAAAAAAAAAAAAAAAAAAAAAAAAAAGATTTATGTGTTTTATGTATATGAGTGTTCACCCACATGTATGTATGTGTACTACATGCATGGAGTATACATGGAGACCAGGAGAGGGCATTAGATCCCATGGAGCTGGAGTTAGAGAGGATTATAAGCTGCCATGTAGGAGCTAGGAGCTGAACCTGGGTCCTCTGCAAGAGCAGCAAGTGCCCTTAACCACAGAGCCATCTCTCCTGCTCACCATTCTTAAATTTGACGAGGTGTTGGAGAAAGGGAACAATCAGTGTGCTTTCTTTTCCCAAGTCCAGAATGATTGATTTTTGAGGGATGTTTATGGAGAGGGAAGAAGTATAAGCTACTTTTCTTTTTATTTTTCAAATGTGTATGAATGTTTTGCCTGTGTGTATTCTGTTTACCACTTGGATGCCTGGTGCCTGAGGAGACCAGAAGAGGGTGTCAGATCCCTGGAACTTCAGTTACAGAAGGTTGTGGGGACTGGGAATCGAACCCAGGTCCTCTGTAAGAGCAACAAGTACTCTTACCCACCGAGCTATCTCTAGCCTGTCAGTTTCCTAAAGGCATGCACCACTATGCCAGACTCTTTTTTAATTTTTATTGGGTAGCATGGGAGAAGCTCGTGTCATGGTACTCTGTAGAGATCAAAGGAAATTCTGAGGACTCCGTTCTCTCCTTCACCTTTATGTGGATCCTGAGGAGTGAACCCAGTTGTCAGTGTTATGTGCAAACACCTTACTGCCTCAGCCATCTCACTGGCCTGTCACTGTCCTTTTTTGCCTGATTGATTTGAAGCTTTATCTGTGTAATATCCAGGTCCCTCATTGGAAAGCTGAGAGTACAGTCGAGAAGCTAGGAAGTCACTGGCTAACTAAAGCTACCCTCAAGTGCTAGGCACGACACATGTATAGAACCCATGACCTCACACTAGGTGGTAATTTGCTAGGGCTGCCATAACTAAATTCCACTGTCTGGGTGACTTAAAAAACAGGTTCAGGCCGGGCAGTGGTGGCGCACGCCTTTAATCCCAGCACTCGGGAGGCAGAGCCAGGCGGATCTCTGTGAGTTCGAGGCCAGCCTGGGCTACCAAGTGAGTTCCAGGAAAAGGCGCAAAGCTACACAGAGAAACCCTGTCTCGAAAAACCAAAAAAAAAAAAAAAAAAAAACAGGTTCAGGCCAGCACTTGGGTGGTGGCAAAGACGGGAAGATTTCTCTGAGCTCAAGGCCAGGCTGGGCCACATACTAAGCCCAGGACAATTTACTTGGGCTACAGAGAAAGCCCCTGTCTGAAAAATCAGTTAAGTTCTGGAGAGGCAGAGATCTACCCATCTCTGCCTCTGCCCCTCTGCCTGTCTGCTCCTCTTCCTCTGCCTCTGTGTGTTGGAATTAAAGGTGTATGCCACCACATCCAGGCTTATTCAGCACTTGGGGCCAGGAAAATTTTAGTGATACAGAGAGAATATTTATTTGTTTTAGTAATTCCTTAGTGCTGATATTAGTGAGTGAATGAGTGAGTGAGTGAGTGTGTGTGTGTGTGTGTGTGTGCGCGCGCGCTAGAACCACCTGTAGAGACACCTATTTGGTAATTTTAAAAAGGAGTAAACTCAACCCTCAGGACCAGAGTTCTCTGAAAAGAGTGGACTTCTGGAAATTGTTGGGTCTTCTTTGTTCCAAAACAAACCTTTAGTGTGCTGTGCAGGATACTCAGATACTGGGTTTTGGCAGACTGTATCCCTGAGCCTGGATCCAATTGCTCCGGAAGAGGTCAGGCGTGAGCTGAGCGTGGCGTGCAGCAGAGGCAGTGGGAGTTGTTGGCTCGTGGTGTACACTGCATGAGGAGAGCGGAGATGGGCAGAAGCCACTAACTTGAGAGCGTCTTGGTCATGAAGCGGAACTATCTTACGCTGTGTTGGGTGGTGGAGAGAACAGTGTGGATGCTAAACCTCTGAGCACTTTTGGACCACGGCTACATTACATTTCACAGATTAGATTTTATTTTACACGTATGTGGGTTCTGGGCATGGAACTCTGATCATCAGGCATGGTAGCCTGATGTCACACGGAGGGACCACAAAGCAAGAGATGCAGGCAGTCACCAGGAGCTGGAAAGGGCCCAGATGGATTCTCCCTGCAGCTTGCAAAGAAAGTCAACCATGCTGACACCATGACTCGGCCCTGTGGGATAAACTGGACTCCTTGTCTCCAGAACTTTAAGATGGAGAAATTGCCGTGGTGTATGGTGACTGTTATCATAGCCAAAGCAACACCAGACACCATCGCTCCTGACGAAGGAAAATGTCGGAGTCAGGGTTAAAGGCGGGTCATGAAAGATGCCCTGGGACCATTTGGATGATAGCTTTATTGGAGGACTTGGTTGAGAGAGGACACAAACTGGTGGTTGGAAGTGAGGGGAATTCAAACTCGGGCATTGATTGTCTCCTGTCTCTGCGGTTGTGGTTATTTGTTTTTATGAGGCAGAATTACTCTATATAGCCCTGACTTCTGAAACTTTTTATGTAGATTAATCTGGCCTTGAACTCACAGAGATCTGCCTGCCTCTGCCTCCAAAGTACTGGGATGAAAGGTTTGTGCCGCCATGCCTGGTGAAAGCTGTCCTTTTATCTCCACATTCATACCATAGAGTACTCATGCAGGTGCACATGTATACACACACACACACACACACACACACACACACACACACACACACAAGCAACAATAACAATAAATAATTGGGTGAAAACTAGAAGACACCCAACATCAGCCTCTAGCATCCACATGTATAAGTGTTGGTGAGTGCAAACACACATACACACATGCACACACACAGAAGTAGGGTACTAAGTGCCAAATGTGACAGTAGGAAAGCAGTTGGCTTCTTCCCATCTCCTGCACAGCTCCATTGTGTAAAAATGAATTGGTTAGCCAGGCAGTGTCACACGCCTTTAATCCCAGAACTCGGGAGGTAGAGGCAGGCAGATCTCTGTGAGTTCACTAGTCTACAGAGTGAGTTCCAGGACAGCCAGGGCTACACAGAGAAACTCTGTCTCAGACCAGTAGCCTACTTCTATTGTGCCCAGCTCTGTTCTGATGCTGGTGGTATACCAGGACCCCGACTTCCTTAGAGCCTTCATTCTAGAAGAGGAAGGCAGCTTATAAATAATGAGCAGAAAAGGACGTGTGCGAACTGTGCTAGAAGATGGGAAGCAGCGGTTGGGGTGCAGCTCAGAGGTAGCATGTACTCAGTATGCTCAGGACCCCGAATGCAGTTCTCTGAACCGCTATGGAAACAGTAAGCTATGGAAAGACAGAAAGTGAATGGGTTTTGGGAGGTGCTGCATGTGGGGGACACTGCTTTAATATGGGCTGATGTAAGCCTTCTGAGAAGGACTTGAAGTCAGTGAGGATGTTAGCTACAGAGACACCAATGGGCCAGGGCCAGGGCCCCAAAGCTGTAGCATCCTTGTCTGATCTGGGCTAGAGCAAGCTAAGAATAAGGAGGAGGAAAAGAGGAGATGGGACCAGGGACCACACCGTGAAGGGTCCCATTGTCCTTTTTGAAGACCGTGGTTTGATTCCAAGTAGACTGAATACTTCTTTGCAGGGTTTGGACAGAAGAATAGTGTGGTTCATTTAGAAGGAACAATCTGATGATTATGTTAACAGGAAAGACCACTTAGGAGGCCACTGTAGCAGCCAGCCAAGAGGAAGCTGTGTGCTGTGGTGCACACCTGTAATCCAAGCACCTGGGGAGCCAGAGGCAAGAGGATGGGGGTGTTCAGGGTTACATAGTGAGGTGGGAGGAGGGGATAGAGGAAAAGGATTATGGGAGTGGTGAAAAGCTGCCGCATTGGCATCTTCTGAAGAGAGATCCAGGAGGCTGGCTGGCAGATTGGATGTGGGCGTGAGGGACGAGAGAAGGGTGGGGTGGCTCTCTGTTGTTTGGGCTGTGTGCTGGGAGGGATGGAGCTGCCATGTTTGGAATGGCAGAGGCAGGGTGGAGCTCTGGGGGAGGAGACCAGGAGTTCAGTTTCAGGTGACACTCAAGTCTCCCAGACACCCCCCAAAACAGTGTCTCCTTATTGAGTGTTAATCTTGCACTTAGTAGAGTAGCTGGCCCTCCAGACGTCGGGTTAAATGAAAGAACAAGAGAAGACACAGGTGTTAACTGAAGCTCGTGTCTGGTGAAAAAGAGACCCCACCTTACTGCCTGTGTCTTCGTGCACACACAGAAAAAAAATGAACAGCTGAATACCAACTCCTCACAGGGCTCTTATGGACTCTTGAATGGTGTTAACTTAACGTTGTTCGCTTTTTTAAAACTTGGTTGCTTTTTTTTGTGGGTTTTTTGTTTTGTTTTGTTTTTTAATTTTGTAGGTGTATTTGTGTATATCGTGTTTGTGGAGGTCAGAGAACAAATTCGGGAAATCAGATCTTGCTTCACACCTTGTTTTTTTGTTTTGTTTGTTTGTTTTCGTTTTTCGAGACAGGGTTTCCCTGTGTAGCGCTGGCTGTCCTGGAACTCACTCTGTAGACCAGGCTGGCCTCGAACTCACTGAGATCTGCCTGTCTCTGCCTCCCAAGTGCTCAAATCAAAGGCGTGCGCCACCACCGCCCGCCTTTACGCCTTGTTTTAAGGCAAGGTCTCTATTGGTTCTATCGCGCTGTGTATTCCAGGATAGCTGGCCGCCATACTTCTCGGTGATTCTCTGCCTCCCGTTTCTCCATAAGAAGGCTGCGATTACAGATGCACACTACCACATCCAGTGCTTTACATGGCTTCTGAGGATCTGAACTCAAGTCACTAGGCTTATGTGGCAAAGTTTTTACTCACTGAGCCGTCTCCTGGTGCCTTCTTTCACTTTTTAAGGAATTTGTAGCCATGCTGGTGCTGTACACCTTTAGTCCCAGCACCCAGGAGGCAGAGGCTGGTCTACATAGAAAATTTTAGGCCTGCGAAAGCTGCATAGTGAGGCCCTATCGAGAGAGAGAGAGAGAGAGAGAGAGAGAGAGAGAGAGAGAGGGAGGGAGGGAGGGAGGGAGGGAGGGAGGGAGGGAGGGAGGGAGAGGGAGAGGGAGGGGAGAAGGGGAAGGGGGGGACAATAAGAGGGAATAAAAGAAAAAAATAATTTATATTTTTAGAATTCTCTCAAATTATTGTTATTTTATGTGAGTGGGCATTTTGTCTGCATGTATGTCTGGGTTTTATTTGAAACAGGTGTGGTGGTTTGAATAAGAATGCCACCCATTAGTTGGGCAGTGGTGGCATGCGCCTTTAATCCCAGAACTTGGTAGCCAGAGGCAGCCGGATCTCTGAGTTCAAGGCCTACTTGGTCTACAGAGTGAGATCCAGGACAGCCAAGGCTATACAGATAAACCCTATTGGGGGCTTGGGGGAGAATGGCACCCCTAGGCTTATGTATTTGAATACTTAGTCATCAAGGAGTGTCAATACTTGAGAAGGATTAGGAGGAGCGACTTTGTTGGAGGAAGTGTATGTGTCACTGGGAGTGGAGGTTTCAGAAGCCCAAGCCAGCCCCAGTGGCTCTCTCTTCCTGCTGCCTGTGGAGCCCGATGTAAAACTCTCGGCCACTTCTCCAGCACCGAGTCTGCCTGCACACTGCCATACTCCATGACTGCAATGGACCAAACCTCTGAAACTGAAAGTCCCAATTAAATCCCTTTCCTTTGTAAGAGTTGCCCTGTCACGGTGTCTTTTCACAGCAATAGAATAGTGACTAAAACACAGGATCTCTCTATGTAGCCTTGGCTGGCATGGAACTTGATATGTAGACCAGGTTGGCCTCAAACTCACAGAGGTCAACCTGCCTCTGCCTCCCAGTGGTGGGATTAAAGGTGTGTGTCATCACACACAGCCCAGTGTGTACAGCTATGCACCGAATGTGTGCCTGGTGCCTGAGGAGGCCAGAGAGGGTGTCTGATTCTCTGGAAATTGAGTGATGGACAGCTGTGAGTCACCGTGCGGATGCTGGGAATTGAACCTAAATCCCTGTGCAGCCAGTGCCCTTAACCTCTGAACTATCTCTCCAGCCAAAGAATTTATGTTTTTTACGTTGTTTCTAATTGTGTGTGTTGGAGGAGATACACATGCAACAGCAAGCATATGGAGGTCAGAGGCAACTCTGGATGGAGGTGGTTCTCTTCTTCCACCTTTCCATGGGTTCCAGGAGTCAAACCCAAGTGGTCAGTCTTGTACAGCAAGCCCCTTTACCCACTGAGCCATCTCATAGGCCCAAAATGTGTATTTTTCAGTCTCTCAATAAAGTAATGTGTATAAAAGGGAGATGTGGTCCCGAGGACGAGAAGATGTGAACCCCTGTTGTGGTGCTGGGTGGGAAACTGTTGCTGAGTCACTGGCCCCTTACCTTGTTTATCCATGTCTGTTTATGGGTAGGAACATGGGCACAGATTGCTCTCTCTCTCTTGCATTTATTTATTTAGTGAGTGAGTGAGTGTGTGTGTGTGTGTGTGTGTACAAAAATGTGCAAAGGTCAGAGAGCAACCTGCCAGAGTCAATTCTCCTCATGTCTTGTAGGTTCTAGATAGGGATGGATCTCAGGCTTGGCAACAAACTCCTTTATCCACTGAATCATCTCTCCAGCCCTCTTTTTTTCTTGTAAAGCATTTCCTTATGACCTGCTCCCAAAACTAGAAATAACAGGCTTAGAAGATATTCAGGTTTGCAATTATTTGTAAATATTACCAGATTGTTCTAATAGAAAAACTGACCAATCTAGAGTTCTAACACTGAAAAAAAATGCTAAACAAGCTATTAGAGAAATATCTACTCCAACCAGGTCGAGTTTCACTTCCCACTGTAAAGGACTTGTCAGAATTCCTTCTTGCCAGAGTCTCAGAAAGGCCTCATGGAACTCTTCCGTGCTTTTCAGGTGTGGGGATTGGTGTCGTCCATGCTGGCTACGAAAGACGCCTGGCTCATCACCTGGGGGCACACAGTACCCCCTCCATCCTAGGAATCATCAATGGAAAAATCTCCTTCTTCCACAATGCAGTGGTTCATGAGAACCTACGGCAGTTCGTGGAGAGTCTTCTTCCAGGGAACTTGGTGGAGAAGGTGAGTGTCTACTAAGAACAGGCTGCCAACCAGAACCTCCCAATCTTCACTCTGAGCAGCCTGGCATCTACCGTTTCCTTTCACCTGATCATCCTGATAAAGCCTGGGAGACCGAATGTAGCTAAAGTTTTCCTGCCTGGCCCACGGTCAGGGCAAATCTCTCTCACCTGCCAGTCCCACAGCTGCTCAGACCCAACCAAGTAAACACAGAGACTTACATTGCTTACAAACTGTATGGCCGTGGCAGGCTTCTTGCTAACTGTTCTTACAGCTTAAATTAATCCATTTCTATAAATCTATACCTTGCCACATGGCTCGTGGCTTACCGGCATCTTCACATGCGACTTGACCTGGTGGCGGCTGGCAGTGTCTCTCTCTCAGCCTTCCACTTCCCAGCTTTATTCTCCTCCTTGTCCCGCCTATACTTCCTGCCTAGCCACTGGCCAATCAGTGATTTATTTACTGACCAATCAGCAACACACTTGACAGACCATCCCACAGCATCCGAAGGCTGAAGCAGGTGTACAGAGCCAGAGAAAGGTCACTCTATTAATAACCAGCTCACAAGTGTTATCCCCATCCCAGGAACCTGATCTGAAGCCACTATCATGTTTCCTAAACAACGAAGTGAGATGACGTGATAGGATTTATGGCTATGTGTTTGTTCATGTGCATGTATTTATTCTATAAAAATACTTGGAGTTGGGGATTTAGCTCAGTGGTAGAGGCTCTGGGTTTGGTCCTCAGCTCTGGGGAAGAAAAATGCTCAAACCAGATTTCATTGAGAAAAAAAGTGAATTTACATTTGGTTTCTACATTTTTAAGGATCACATCTACCAAAACCACCAGACTCATTAAACGAAGTGTTATTTCTGGAACTTTAGAAGCTAGTGAGGAGCTTGTTGAGGTGTCTCACACCTGCAATCCCAGCACTCAGGAGGCAGAGGCAGGTGGAGTTTGAGGCCAGCTGGGTCTACAGAGCGAGTTCCAGGACAGCCAGGGCTACCCAAAGAAAACTTGTCTTAAAAACAAAACAAGGGGCTGGAGAGATGGCTCAGAGGTTAAGAGCACTGTCTGTTCTTCCAGAGGTCCTAAGTTCAATTCCTAGCAACCACATGGTGGCTCACAACAATCTATAATTTGGTGCCGGGCGGTGGTGGCACACGCCTTTAATCCCAGCATTTGGGAGGCAGAGGCAGGCGAATTTCTGTGAGTTCGAGGCCAGCCTGGGCTACCAAGTGAGTTCCAGGAAAGGCGCAAAGCTACACAGAGAAACCCTGTCTCGAAAAAACAAAACAAAACAAAAAAATCTATAATTTGATCTGATGCCCTCTTCTGGCATGTAGGCAGACACTGTATACATAATAAATAAATAAATCTTTAAAACACACACACACACACACACACACACACACACACACACACACACACGCACGCACACGCACATGCACGCACACACAAAGTAAGCTCAGTGCGAGCCAGAGAGCTGGCTCACAGGTAAAGGTGCTCACAGGTAAAGGTGCTCACTGCCCAGCCTGACGGCCTGAGTTGAAGCCCGAGGACCCACATGGTGGAAGGAGAGAATCTGCTCCTGCAGGTTGTCCTCTGTCCCACACATGCATGCATAGCTCATGTACCTACATGTACACAAAATAAAGTGTGATTTTGTTTTGTTGTTGTTTGAGACTTGGGTCCTCTACAAGACCAGCAAGCACCTCTAACCACTGAGCATCTCTCCAGCCCTACTTCAGCCATTTTTTTTTTTTTTTTTTTTTTTTGGTTTTTGGAGACAGGGTTTCTCTGTGTAGCTTTGCGCCTTTCCTGGAACTCACTTGGTAGTCCAGGCTGGCCTCGAACTCACAGAGATCCGCCTGGCTCTGCCTCCCGAGTGCTGGGATTAAAGGCGTGAGCCACCACCGCCCGGCTACTTCAGCCATTTTTAAAGGGCCAGTGCTACATGTCTGCAGAAGTGCACTCTGAGAGGCTGATGGTAGAACTTGTGCTTGGCAATGCCCTGGGTTCAATCCCCAGTGGCTAGGAGACCCAAGTCACCCAAAATGAAACAAGAACAAGCTACACAAGGGTGGAGCCAATAGTAGAGCACTTAGCTAGCATGCGGAGGCTGTAGGTTCAATCCCCAGTACTCCTACCAAAACAACAGTAAAAGAACCAACTCCAGAAGTGACTTTATGACATGGTCAGTCAGTCCATCATTCAGTAAGAGTTTATAAACACATGATATCCATGCCTCCATTCTTCTAATGGTTTTGTCTAAGACAAAACAATTAGTGACAAAGGCAGACAGATCTCTGTAAGTTTGAGGCCAGCCTGGTCTACATAGCAAGTTCTAGGATAGCCAGGGCTACATAGACCCTGTCTCAAAAAAGACAAAAAGATTACTTATCCGTATTTTTTATTTTTTTTATAAACAACATATATATTATATATACATATATATTATGTATATATATATGTATATATATGCATATGGGGGATATAATAAATATCCCTAATTTATTTATCTCCTGACAGCAGTATAATACAGTTGTTAAGAATTAAATATTGGGGCCAAAGAGATGGCTTAGAGGTTAGGAGCACTGGCTACCCTTCCAGAGGACCTGGGTTTAGTTCTCAGCACCCACATGGCAGCTCACAACCATCGTAACTCTGGTTCCAGGGAAGCTGATGCCCCCTTCTGACCTTTGTGAACACCAGACCTATGTGTGGTACAAATACATACATTCAGGCAAAACATACATATACCAAAATAAAAACAAATAAATCTTTCTTAAAAATTAAATCTTGCAACTAACCTTCTATCTCCAATTTAAGGTTACAAATAAAAATCACGTGCGATTCCTCTCTGGCTGGCAGCAGGAGAACAAGCCTCACGCCCTCCTGTTCGGCCAGACGCCGGCGGTGCCCCTGCTGTACAAGGTACCACCCCTGGGCAGCGCCTCGTGGTCCTGTGGGGAGCCAGCTCTGAGCCGCAGCCCATTGTCTGCTTGTCTTCTGTGTAATTACACATTGAGCATCTCTATTTGAAAATTCCCAAATCAGAAAACTCTTGAACATGGACTCGATGCCACAAGCAGGAAATTCCACCCCTGACCTCAGGTCACAGTTGAGATGTAGGCACACTAAATGTACACACAGTTACTTCATGCTGTGTGGATAAGGTGTGTGTGGAACATACAGATTCTTTGTGTTTAAATTTGGTGCTGTTCCCAAGAATACTTCGTTATGGATATGCTAATATTTCAAACTGGAAAAGTCTGAAGCATTTCTGGTCTCAAGTGTTTCAGATAAGGCTGTTCGTTGTAGTTTATTGCTGGGCTGGACACAGACACACACATACACACACACACAAAGACACACATGTACCCAGGCAAGATTTCAGCATAATCATTATTTTGTTTTATCTCATAAGAAAAGTAGTTGTGTTTACCTTTGCTCAGTTTTTATGCATAGATATCATAGAATTCCTGAAGTGAATGTGTGAGGGTGAGGAAGACTCATGGGATCCATAAGCTGGCGGCTCATCCCAGCCGCTGACATTAACAGGGCCCACTTGCTTTGTAAGCTGGATCCCAAGCTGTCGATTTCCTCTCCTCTCTGTTGTACCCTCACAGCTGACGGCCTTTGCATACAAAGAGTATGTGTCCTTCGGTTATGTGTACATCGGCTTGCGAGGTGTGGAAGAGATGACCAGGCAGTATAACATCAACATCTATGCCCCCACCATGCTGATCTTTAAAGAGCACATAAACAAGCCTGCTGATGTGATCCAGGTAAGTGAGAATCGCCTCCTGTCAAGACGTCCTTCAGTTTACCTCAGCCTCATGCAAATAAGCAACAGCTGAAGCGAGCTTTGTAGTCCCAGCACTGGAAGGGCAGGAGTTCAAGGTCATTCTCCACTACATAATGAGTCTGAGGCTAGCCTGAGCTACAAGGAGACTTTGTCTCAGTGAAAGAGGAGGGAGTCATCAAGACGGCTGATTGGATGAAAGTGTTAGCTGCCTAGCCTGACCACCTGAGTTCTCTCCCTGGGATCCATGTGGTGGAAGGAGAAAGCCAACCCCTGGGTGTGCTCAGACATGCACATGCACACTCAGGAATAAATCAGAGAAAGACAAAATTGAGCAAAACTGGAGAAAAAGGAGAAACTCATTTGCCATCTTTCTACTGATGCACTAAATTTTGCTGTTTTTTTTTTTAATTTGACACAGTGATGTTTTGCTTTAAAAAATTTTATCTTAGATGGCACATCCCTGGAATTCCAGTACTCTAAAGGCTGAGGCAGGAGACTTGTTGGTTTGAGAGAAGAGATGTTTGTTTGTTTTGAGGGTTAGTTTTTGTTTTGGTTTGGTTTGTTTTTTTGGTTTTTTTGGTTTTTCGAGACAGGGTTTCTCTGTGTAGCTTTGTTCCTTTCCTGAGATCTGCCTGCCTCTACCTCCCAAGTGCTGGGATTAAAGGCGTGGGCCACCAACACCCGACTTTTGGGGGGGGCATTAAACAAGGTCTCACTCAATGTACAGACTAGTCTGACTTTGAAATTGCAGAGCTCTGCCTGCCTCTGGCTCTGGCTCTTAAGTGAGGCTACAATAAGTTTTATTAAATTCTTTATTTGGGGGGCTGGAGAGATGGCTCAGCAGTTAAAAAGCATGCACTGCTCTAATAGAGGACCCAGAGTTCCAGAGTTCAGTTCCCTGCACCCTGTTGGGCGGCTCACAAGCACCTGTAACTCAGGTCCCAAGGGGCCTGTCTGTCCCTCTGGACAACCTTTCGTTTGCCTACGCTCATGTGCACACACCCATACACATAAGCACATAATAAAAAATAAAAAGAATATGTTTTGTTTTGGTCACTAAACATTTCAATGCCTGACTGCTGTGTAGTGAGTTCGGTGCTGACTGGGGCATCCATGGACCGTACCTAAAGTGGTTCAGTCAAGGGAGGAAAGACCAAAAGGCAAACTACAGTTGTTTAGAATAGGGGTGTGTCAAACTGGAAATAAGGAAGGCCATTCGGTGGGGCAGAACCAGACGGGGAAATGGCTGATAGGGAGGGGGACCAAAGAGAGCCAATTTGTCTTAGGTGTGCTGAATTCGAGCTGCCTCTAACAAAGACTAGCGGAGATGACCCTTACACAGATGGACAGGGGAGAGCTCAGGAAAGGCAGGAGGAGGCTGGGCTTGAGGGCTGCTTATAATCTCAGCACTTTGGAGGCTGAGGAAGCTAACGTGGGCGGCAGTAGAGGGCGCTGTCGCAGGAGCTCATTTGTCAGGTGCTTGTCTGGCAGATACAAGCCCCAGGTTGGATCCCCAGCACTGTGGAGGCCCACGTCAGTGCAGGCCTGTGATCCCAGCACTCTGGAGGTAGAAGCCAGAGGAAGGAAGTACAAGGACATCCTCAACTAACATAGCGAGTTCCGGGCCAGCCTGGGTTACTTGACACCTTATCTCAAACATTTTTAAAGAGGTAGGAGGGCAGCGGGTAGAGCACTGAAGGCTGTGAGTGTGTCAGTGAGTGAAGAGTAGAACCTTTTTAAACTTTACATTTATTCAGTTGTGTGTACCTGTGCACATTCATGTATCTGTGTGGAGGTCAGTTCCTTCCTTCCACTCTGTGGGTTTGAGGAATCAAACTCAGATCGTCAGGCTTGGGAGCAAGCCCCCTTACCCACTGAGCCATCTCTCTGGCCTGGGATCTTACCTATCGGCTCTCCCTTCTCCATGCTTGTGAGACCGCATCTGCTGAGCATGGAATATGGTTGGTTCTCAGATACTGACTTTGTATCATCCAGCAACTTTGCAGTCATCTGTTCTGTCCTTAGGGTTTGCTAAGTACACAGTATCATCTGAGGCTGGTGGCAGTTTTGCTTCTCCTGTGTCATGTCTGTCCTTTAAAATGCATGGAAGCAACGACAAAGCCATCAGCGGCAATTCTGTGGTCTGCCTCTTCATTCTTAGTAAACGTGTGGGGAGGGCTGGAATGTCACTGAGGGATAACGCTCTCCTGGAGCATATAAAGCTCTGCATTCACTCCTGGCACCACACAAACTGGGTGTGGTGGCACACGCCTGGAATCCCAGCACTAGGAAGCTAGGCAGGAGAATCAGAAGTCCAGGGTCAGCCTCAGCTACATAACAAGTTGGGTTCCAGCCTGGGCTACAGGAGAGCCTGTCTCAAGGGGAATGGGCATAGTGGCACATGATTTAATCCCAGCACCCGGGAGGCAGACAGATGGATCTCTGTGACTTTGAAGCCATCCTGGTCTACATAGCAAATTTCAGGCCTGCCAAGGTACATAGTAAGACCCTGTCTCAAAAAAAAAAAAAAAAAAAACAAGTGCTACCACTGTTTGAGTATTTTGTTTCATTCTGTCGTTTTTTGAGGTACCATTGATTGAACATGGGGCTTCGTGCATATTAGACCAGCATTCTACCACTGAGCCACCTCCCTAGCCCTGTGATTTATTTTGAATTGTTCAGTTTGCTACAGATCCTAAATGGAAATATATTTGTGTAAAAATCAAAATGATTGACTTTTCCAAGCTGTTAATGTAAAACGGTATGCAGTCACAAAGTAGAAACCTCTTGATTTTCCCCTGAGCACGACCTGGCTGCATCATCACCTTCACCTGAGTTATCGGACATCTCCGCACGTTTCTTGCCTGGTGATGTTGCCGTAGCCAGGGTCAGCCACAGTCTTCGTAAGCTTGTGAGTAAAGCCCGTTTGCAGTGTGGAAACTGAATGCTTGTTGGTGTTTCTCCAGGCTCGAGGCTTGAAGAAGCAGGTCATTGAGGACTTCATCACCCAGAACAAGTACCTGCTGGCCACCCGGCTCACTAGCCAGCGGCTGTTCCATGAACTCTGTCCTGTGAAGCGGTCTCACCGACAGAGGAAGTATGAACTCCAGGCTCTGCCTCTCACTGAAGTGGGAGGGAACAGTGGTGTCTTCCTGCGGGGCAGTTAAACTATGATGGGGTGAGGTGCCTTAGTCCAGTGTGCCTTTGCACCATCTGCTGAAGTAGTAGACATGAGCCACCATATCCAGCAGATATCTGGAAGCGCAGCAAGATGGCTCAGCAAGTCAAGGCGCTGGGTCTGATCTCTGAGATCCATGTGGTGGAAGGAGAGATTGATCCACACACGCCCAGACACACATACATTTTCAGAGCTGTCTGAGATCTCACTGTTTTACCACTGCCACTCTTGAACAGGCCACCACCATGTCCCGTAGGGTCTCTGCTCCCATCCATTCCCTTATTCTTCCATCTGTTCTCCACACATCTGTCACTGAGCTCTCCAAACCCAGGTCACCTCAAGTTGCTCCGTCCTCTTTTCTTCTCCTCCAGCACTTGATTCAAGTCTCTGCTAAAGCTCAGGTGGCATTTTCCTGGTCTGCAGGAGTGCTACTTCAGCCTTTACCAGCCTCTCTGTCCCATCCTCTTTTTCTCCCAGCACCTGTCATTACCCACTTGCGTGTCTGTGTGTCAGATGTCTGTTTTCTCCACTGGAACAAGGGTGGGAATGTTGCCTGAGAGCTCAGTAAATGTCTAGGGGGATGAAGAAATGAACTCTGGGCTTCCATTAGAATCTTGCAGAGGCAGCCCCTTCAGAATGAGATTTGTCACCTCTGCCCTGAGATAGATCCAGCCACTCCTCCCTGAGAAGGAGGCTGGGACACATGGCTTCTAAAAGTTTCCTCAGAGACAGGTTTTCATCATGCAAGATGTGTCTCCTCTTTCCTTAGCAGCAGTTGCCAAGCCTGGCCCTGGCCCTGGCCCTGGCCCTGGCCCGGGGTTGGTTCTAGGACCTCCTCTCCTGTTCGTGTCCAGGTACTGTGTGGTTTTGCTGACGGCCGAGGCTAACAAGCTAAGCGAACCCTTTGACGCCTTCCTGTCGTTTGCATTGGCAAACACTCAGGACACTGTACGCTTCGTGCATGTGTACAGCAACCGGCAGCAGGAGTTCGCCAGCACCTTGCTACCAGACAGCGAGGCGTTCCAAGGGAAGTCGGGGGTAAGCCACGAGCCCCAGCCCTCAGCCCCGTTCCTCCTGTCTTGGGAGTGCTGAGTATACATCTGGAAACCTCTAAGACTTGGTTGGAGTCTAGTCAGACCTCCACCTTTCACTTAGCCATTTTACATCCCCATGTGGCTCCAGTCCTCTCTGGAAGGCAGAAGGCATTCTTCTGTAGTCTGGCGCCATCCCAGCTGAGCCGTCTTGGCCGCGTCCCATAAGGGAAGGTTGAGGTTTGTCAGCCTTCTCCAACAGCTTTTCCTAGGGTCAGCTGTAGTGGTGCAGAACTGTAGGGGCCCCGTTCTCCAAATCTCAGGCCACTGCTAATATGCTTGGAAACCTCCTTTCTCGCCGCCCGCCTCCCAGAAGTCTGCTTCTTTTGGAGTGAGGATTGTAGTCTGGTGATAGAGTGTTTGCCTGAAATGCGCAAGGTCCTGGCTTTCGTCCCCATCACAGAAAGGAAGGGAATGACCTGCCTTCTCTGTTCTCACTCAGTTGTCATGGAAATGCTCTCTGCAAAGCAAAGGCGCCTCAACTCTAACATTATGTCAGAGTCTGTCACACAAAATCTGTTGCAAGAAAAAAGGTTTGAAATTTTGGCAGAAGCTTTGGAAACTCACCGTAAGAACCATTACCCTGACGATTGTCAGGAGGTAGAGGCAGGATGACAAAGTTTCAAGCCAGCCTTAGATATATAAGGTCTAGCTGTGTAAGTCCAGGCTGGGCTCAAACTCTCCATCCTCCTGCCTCAGCCTCCCAGGGGCTGCAATTCCTGGTGTCATTCTGTCCTGCTGCTTTTGAAACTCGTAATGGTTTTTCTCCTTTCCTCCCAGGTGTCCATCTTGGAAAGAAGAAACACGGCAGGGAGGGTGGTGTTTAAAACCCTGGACGACCCCTGGACGGGCAGCGAGAGTGATAAGTTCGTCCTCTTGGGTTATCTTGACCAGCTTCGGAAAGATCCGGCCTTTCTGTCCTCGGAAGCTGTGCTCCCTGACCTGACTGATGAACTTGCCCCTGTTGAGTATCCGGGTCAGGGAGGATGGGCCATCAGGAGGGGGAGGGGCAGGGGCAGAGCAGGGATTGAAGGAGCGCTGTGTTGGGAAGTGTGGGGCCTCCCTCAGGGCTCGGTCCTGAACACTGCCTGTCTCCTCTCTGATAGGTGTTTTTCCTCCGGTGGCTCTACTCTGTTTCTGACTCCCTCTCAGACTGGTGGGAGAGCCTGCTTCACAGTAACTGGTAGGACCCTGTGAGGTGTCTTTTTCCCTGTCAAAGCTAGCCTCAATCATTCAGAATGTCAGTATGTGCCTGCTGTAGGCTGTCAAAGCCAGCCTCGAAGCTCTGGGAAGAGCTGTCCTTGGATCAGTGTGCACTTGCTAGAAGTGGGAGAGTTCATGCATTCACATGTTCCCAGTGACAGGCTTCCTTTCTCTTGGCTTTACTTTTTAATATTTGCTGACTGGCACCTCCTGCTGGGAGGGAAGGATCACTCCAGCTGGCCTCCCTGTCAACAGAGCTGATAACTGGTTCTTCATGGAGTGTCTGCCTCTCAGCACAGGGCCTGACACGTGGAGTCCAGTGTGTACATCCATAAATATGTCCATCCATGACCAAAACAAACTTGGGGAGGAAAGTTGATTTTGGCTTACAAGCAAAGGCAGGAGCGAAAGCAGAGACTGCAGAGGAGCACTGCTTGCTGGCTGCCCAGATCTGCCTGCCCATGGGTGGCACCACCCACCATAGGCTGAACCCTTCCATGTCAATTAGTAATCAAGACACACCCTCGGGCCAGTCTGATGGAGGCAACTCTCCTGCCGAGGTTCCCTCTTTCCAGGTGACTCTAGTTTGTGTCAAGTTGACAGCTGAAGCTGAGTGACACACCCTGTTTCATCTCAGCCACATCTGGTCATTCTGGCCACAGAAGAATCAGTTAAACTGAGATCATTCCACGGACTCTGTAACCTCTGATAGATACCTCAGTGACAGCAAGTCCTTCCCTGTGTATGACTTAAATTATTCATCTCCTTCTGCAGAATGTAGTAGACGTAGCCTAAAGCCCTCTTCCAGAAATCAGTCTCTGTGACTAGGCCACTGAGGAAACAGTCTCCCCTCCCCCACCCCAGCAACAGCCTGTCCTGGGGTTGTGTTTCTTGGTGAAAGGCTTTTGGTTTGGGGCTTCGCTCCTGGGCCACGGATGTGCAGCTAACCAGCTGCCTTCGCTTTCAGGCGGGAGATGATGCCCCTGCTGTCCCTCATCTTCTCCGCTCTCTTCATTCTCTTCGGCACTGTCATTGTCCAGGCTTTCAGGTGAGCCTAGGGACATCAGTGGGAGCCCCAGTCTGCCAGGGCCGTTTAGACCCCTTAAAAATAATAATAACTTGTTTCCATTCTTTAGTGACTCAAATGAGGAACGAGAGTCACAGCCTCCAGATAAGGAAGAGGTCCCTGAGAAGACCGGAAAGACTGAGCCAACCTTCACCAAAGAAAACAGCAGGTTCTTCCCGGACACCACCCGCCTGCCCGTGGCCTCAGAGAGCGTGGAGGGTGGATAGTGTGGAGGGCCTCTACCTCGCTGTGCTCTAAAACCTGGCTGTTGGATCAGGGGAGGGGGTTGAAGTGCTGGGGATCAAACCATGTGCTGGACAAGCATTCTCGCTGAGCAACATCCTAGCCCCCAACTCTAAAATAACCCAGAGTGTGAAACGTAACGGCCAGCAGCCTAAGGCCACACGTAGAGTGTTCTGTGCCAGCCGGGCATGGTGGAGCACACCTTTAACCCCAGCCCTTGAGAGGCAGAGGCAGGCGGATCTCTAGGTGTTTTATATAGTGAGTTCCAGGCCAGCCAGAACTACATATTGAGAGCTCATCTCAGAAAAAAGAAAACAGTTGTGTGCCTCATCCAGTGAGTCACAGTCACAGTGCACATGCATGCACACAAAGTGTATGTGAGGTCACCTTAGGCTGGGGTGAATGAACAGACGCAGATGTCATGTTGGGACTGCCGGCCATGTCTCCTTGCATATTTGCACATATTATAAATTAGGAGAGGGGAATCTAAAAATCCAAAACCTTCCTATTCTCAGGCATTCTGAGGCTTTGGGGTTTTTTAATTTAATTATTTTTTTAAGTATGGGGGCGGTGTACCCCTAGAGCTGGAGTTCCAGGCTATTGTAGAGCTCCTGGAAGAACAGTGCACACTCCTAACACATGAGCAGTCGGTCTCTCCAGCCCCTTCCCAGGCATCCTGAGTAAGGGAAAAAGTCACTGCTGCCCGGGGTTCACTGAACAGGGTAGAATAGACCCTCCACATGTGTAGATACGGGACTGGCAGACCAAGTGCCCTGTGATTGCAGATTCACAATCCCAGCTCCGTGATGGAAGCAGGAAGAGATAGGAGAACTCACAAGGGAGGTAAATGAGCCAGAAGCTGGGGGTAGCCTGTCCCCATGACTCGGACTGAGCATTTGTGGTCTCCTTTGACCTGATGTACAGCTGCCCTTGCACCAGATGAAAAGCGCATGAGCAGGGCCCCTGGAGTGAGCCCCCCGTGCAGCCTGTAGGGCGGAGTCAGTGTGGAGTCGCTGGGCCCCGCCTGGAGGTGCTGTGCTCCACTAGTTTGGTTGTTTGGTTTGAATGTTTGTTCTCATGGCGCAGGCTGGCCTCAGACTCACCACATAGTTGAGGCTTACCTCTCATGCCCCTGCCTCGACTGCCCACCCGCTAGGGTTGCAGCATGCGCTACCACGCCTGGCTTCCACTGCCTTCCACTCCCCTGTCTTGACCATCTCTAAACTGCTCTGTATTTCTCCACAGCAAGATTCCCAAGAAAGGCTTTGTGGAGGTGACTGAGCTTACAGACGTGACATACACCAGCAACTTGGTACGCCTGAGACCAGGCCACATGAATGTGGTTCTCATCCTTTCCAATTCCACCAAGACAAGCCTGCTGCAGAAATTCGCTTTAGAGGTCTACACATTCACTGGGTAAGCAGGGGTGTGTGTGTGTATACATGCTTGATTGTGTGCTGTGTGGTTTGTGTGTGCGTGCGAGTGTGAGTGTGTGCCTAAAGAAAGAAGAGAGAAGATACTCCACTTGGGATAAAAGAGACTGGAAGATACTTGCACACTTCCCACTTGAGGGGCAGGATTCTGTATCCTTCTCAGGCCAGACATCTGCCGTCACTGGGGGCCTTCTCTTGACTTTTGTTTGCTTGGGTTTTAGTTATTTATTTTGTTTTTTTGAGACAGAGTCTCTCTGCATAGCCTTGGCTGTCCTGGAACTGTAGACCAGGCTGGCCTCAAACTCACAGAGATCTTACTGCCTCTGCCTCCCGAGTGCTGGGATTAAAGGTGAGCTCCACCATACCTGACTTGATCTAGTACTTTCTATGTAGCCCTGGATGCTCTCAAACGCAGAACAATCCTCCTGCCTCTACCTTCCAAGTGCTAGGATTACAGGGACACCACTCCCCACCACTCTCCCCTGACTTCCATGTCTTGCTGGTTCTGAGCAGAGAAGCATGAGCACCCCACCCCACCCCCAACTCCGCAGAAATCCTCTCCTAAGTTCAGCCAGCCTTTCCTGGCTGTTCAACCCTGTCCAGAGTGCTGCCGCTCCCCTCCGTGGTGCAGCCGAGCCCCTTCCTGAACCCCGTCTGCTCTTTGCACAGGAGCAGCAGCCTGCACTTCTCCTTCCTGAGTCTGGACAAACACCGAGAGTGGCTGGAGTACTTGCTGGAGTTTGCTCAGGACGCAGCCCCGATCCCAAACCAGTATGACAAGCACTTTATGGAGCGGGACTACACTGGCTACGTGCTGGCCCTGAACGGCCACAAGAAGTATTTCTGCCTTTTCAAGCCCCTAAAGACAGTGGACGAGGAGGCTGTGGCCTCCTGCGACCCTGACTCCTCCAGAGGGAAGCTGCCCTGTGGCCTCGGGCCCAAGCCCCTCAAGGGCAAGCTGAGCAAGTTGTCCTTGTGGATGGAGCGCCTGCTGGAAGGTTCCTTGCAAAGGTTTTACATCCCATCGTGGCCTGAGCTAGACTGAGACATGGACTCTTCAGGTTTTTAACGTGCCCCAGGAACAGGGATTTCCAGGAGAGTCTAGGTTTTAGATTTCTCTTCTAGAGCAATGGCTAGAAGACCTTTCCTTTGTCACCTAGGAGTAAAACATGTCGCAGGTTTGACCCCTAGATGAAAACCTTTCCCTGGGTTTTCTCACCCCCATTTGAATGCCGCACTATTTCAGATAGACGCTCGTCCTTCTTTGTTGTCCCTGAGACATGCCCACACCACCCTGTCCTTAGGTTGGAGAAGCCCATGGTTTGACCTCGAGTCGTGCTGGATGAACCTCAGGATCCTCACTAACCTGTTCTGCAGGGTGGCTCACTCTCCCCCAACCCTTCCACCACCACCCCCCCCCAGTAGGCTCCTGGCTTGGCCCCTGCCATGCTTCTGCCAAGGCACATGCTCTCAACACAGGACAGCCCACCAGAGCTTCTCGGTCCTGCATCTTTGAAAGCGGCCTAGTTCTAAGCGGTTTTACATGTGGCCATCTTCTGGGAGCAAACATTGAGAAGTATATTTTGGGGGTATCTCCCACAACAGTTGGCCAGCCATGGCTTTGAAAGGAAAAGACTGAGCAGTGGGTGAGGGTGTAACATTGACATTTGGTTCTCCCCACCCAGAGAAGGGAGGGTTGGCCTCTGACTGGAGTCTCACAGCCCTGTGATCCTTCATGAGCATCCCTTGTTCCCGTCCCTGTCCTTCACTACACTCCCGTGTATGCACCATCCTAGCCAGGGCAGTCTGCCTAGCCAGCACTGTCGTGACTGAGCCACTGACCTGTCTCCAGATGCCTTTCTGCCTCTGTGGATTGTAGAGTTTGGATACTAGGAGCCATAACCTGTGAGCTTGTTCTCTGAGCTTAGAGAAGCTGCTATAGAGCCAGTAGATTTAAGTGACAGCAGTTATTCCTGTCCGCCAAGAGCCAGGTGCAGGAGCCCTTCCTGCCACACTCTCTGTCGAGTAAAATGCCAGGTGTGTCTTCGTACCAAGGAACCTGACCTCTCTGACAGTTCATCTTGAACATTGTCGTCCCCAAAGTGCTGAACCTTCAAGTTGTCTCTGAGACTTGTTCCCGACTCCTGTCCGGCAGGCAGCTAGCTTCCTACTTCTGGCCTGCATTTTGGCTTCTCAGCTTCCTCATTTCATCCTTCCCTTATCGCTGCTTCCTGCTGCCAGATCAGACCCATCGAATCCAGCTTGCCTGGCTCCACGCACCCTCAGGCTCAGGGCGGGATCATGTTCGTCCACTCAACATACCCTTTGTTTTTAGGGCCAAACCACAAGGGGAGTTTGGACAACTGTGACACGTGGTATGTTCTACTGTTAAGCAAGTGCCCTTTTATAAAGTGAAGGGCACAAATCAGGGACAGGACATTCACTCAGTTAGTATTCTGTAATCATAATTGCTTTGAACCAAGCACCTCGGATCCTGACTACTTTAAACACTGAGCTCCAGTGGTAAGTGATAACTCTCTGAGCCCAAGACCCTCTGTAGTTCTCAAAGAGTCTTTAGCTTTATTAAAAAATAAAGAAGCCGGGCGGTGGTGGCGCACGCCTTTAATCCCAGCACTCGGGAGGCAGAGACAGGCGGATTTCTGTGAGTTCGAGGCCAGCCTGGTCTACAGAGCGAGATCCAGGACAGGCACCAAAACTACACAGAGAAACCCTGTCTCGAAAAACAACCAAAAAAATAAAAAAACATGAAGAAATCACTGCCAGGCTTCATTCTTCCATCTGGCCCTCTAGAAGTACATGCTGACCCTCAATGCTGCTGCTTATGTGGCTGGCCCAGCTAGAAAGGGTGAAGGCAGTCATGGGCTCCTCAGTGCCCCGTCCTCAGAATGCGTTTCTGGAGGCTGAGGGTGAGCCAGGGTAGAACACATGCCTGCAGGTGTAAAGCCTGAGTTCCATCCCCAGGATCACGTACAAATCGTGTTTGGTTTGGGTTTTTTCTGGTGTTTGGTTTGGTTTGGTTTGGTTTAATGGTGGGGCTCCTCTTGTGAGTATGTTTTAACTCATTGATAGATTTTTGTCTTTACATTTCTGGAACTGATAAAATTCCTTGACATATAATTCTAAAAACCAAAAACTCCCCAGGTTTTTGTTCTTTCTTCAAAACTGTACCAAGAAGATAAAAGTCCCTTCCATTGGGGTGACAGAGGGAAGTGGTAACAGGACTGAGTCCAGAATCCCTACAGATCTGATGGGGATCACAATGGACATCACGGTTTGCTTGCTTGCTTGCTTTGAGACAGGGTCTCACTATGTAGCCCAGGCTGGCCTCCAGCTCAAGGCCTTCCTGCCTCAGCCTCCCAAGTCCTGGGGTTACAGGCGTGCACCACAAGTCTACCTTTGACAGATACAAGCCTTTCTTCCTGAATGTTATTTCCATGAATTGTTTATTTTTTGTGTCAAATATGAGCTATTTTTATGCTCAGCCAAATGCCAAGGTTTCTCATCCTAATGAATGTAATATCACAGGACCCAGTTTCAGTTGAGACACTGCTATTTGAGGAGGTGAGTGTCTGCTCAAGACAGCCTATGAATCATGTTCAGTAGACAGGATACAGTAGCCTCTTTAGTCAGTCTGTGTGGAATACCTCTTCCTGCCACTCAGGGACTGGCTGCCCTTTGTCTAACCCAGAGTTGATAGGCTGCCTGGAGACAGTGCAGAAGCAGGCTGCTCTCCCTGTCACCTGCCACCACCCCACAGAGTTGGCTTATTTTCAGATGGGTTAGTCTCATTCCTAGCCTTTTCCATAGTGCTGATCATTTGCAGCCACCGTCGTGTTTCCCTGGTGTTGAAAAAATAATAAAATGGGTCTGACCCATTTGCTTTGCTTGGGGCGAGGGATTGGAAGCGAGCACTCAGCCTCTGTTTTGTTGTCAAAATAGAATTCCATACTGGGGCTGTAGTTCAGTGGTAAAGCATTTGCCTAGCATGTGTGAGCCCCTTGAATGGATCTCCAGTGATGAGGGAGGAAAATTAGGTAGAATCCCTTAAATATTGTTGCAAGGAGCCAGATGTGGAGCACATGCCTGTAATCCCAGCACTCAGGAAGCAGAGGCAAGAGAATCAGGAGCTCAGGGTCATCTTTAGCATGAGCAGGTGAAACCAGCTTGGGCTATGAGACCTTGTCTCAAAAAACAAATGCTACCAGATTGGGGTGTTACACAGTGGTTCGAATACTCACGTAGTACATATGAGGCCCTGTGTTCTTTGATCTTAGCACCACAAAATAAATAAACAGGTAAATAGCTGAATAGATAGAGGCTGGAGATGAAATATAGTTCATGTCCACGTATCTGGAGCCGCCCTTGGAAACAAAGGCAGCATGGCAGTGCTGAATTGGCCGGTTTTGTCTGCTAGGGAAGATGGCTGTACTTGGGAGACAGACCTGAGAGGAAGGGGAATATTTTGCACTTTTGATACTATTAAGAACAAATAATTTATTTGGCAAATTGTGTCTTTTTATGTTTTATGTTTTTACTTTTCAGTTTTGTTTTTTGTTTTGTTTTGTTTCTGTATTGTGAACAGGCACTAAAGCTAATGTTATTTTGTTTTAAGAATATTATGGACTGGAAACAAATAAACTATTTTAATGTGTGATGGCTCTGGGGCACCTCTGGAATTGCAAGATGATTTCATCATGGATACACTGTCGGAATTGCAGGTGACTGGCTTCCAGGCACAGCAGGCCGGAGATGGCTCAAAAACCAAAAAGGGCCGAAGGCTCCTCAGTGGAGCGCTCACTGTTGCAGAGGACTTGGTTCGGTTCCCAGCACCCACTAGTGGCTCACAGCTGCCTGTAACTCCAGTTCAAGGGATCCTACACCCTCTTCTGAACTCCACAGGCTCCTACACACATGTGGTACACATACACGAACTTAGGCACACATAAGATTAAATAAATAGGGCTGGAGAGATGGCTCAGTGGTTAAGAGCACTGACTGCTCTTCCAGAGGACCTGAGTTCAATTCCCAGCAACCACATGGTGGCTCACAACCACCTGCAATTAGATCTGGTGCCCTCTTCTGGCCTGCAAAGACACATGCAGGCAGAACACTGTATACATAAAATAAATCTTTAAAAAAAAAAAAGATTAACTATGTTAATGTTCAAGAGGACAGGAGCGCCAGCTGCCCTGCTTGGGTCAGCCTTCTGAATGGTCCTGATTGCACCAGTGGGGACATCTGTGGAAAGCTTTCTTCAGTCCTTGCACTGCTTGTTCACGAGTCCTCGAGGCTCTGTCGTGACACTGTCTGTCTGTCTTGAAGAACAGACTCAGACAGTTGTCACTTTGGGGAGAGCACATAGCATCTCAAACAGCAGGTTAGCTGCTAGGAGGGCCGTGTTGCCTAGGAAGGAGGAAGAAGTGCCGTGAAGAGGTGCATGCCCCCCTGAAGCCCAGGCTCTGGGACCCCACCCCACTGGCCTTCCCAGAGCCCTGACTTCTGAACTCTGGGTGCTATCTGCCTGTGAACATGCCTTCAGCCCCCACCAAGCGTCATTTGGAGACCGTAGGAGAAGTCTGTGATGGCAGGTGCTGCTCATAGCCCACCCTCAGGCCACTAGGCCTAACTAGAAGGTGGTTTTGTTTTTCTTCCAGTTAGAATTAGGAGGAGGACATCTGTTTTGCCCAGGCGTCAGCTGCAGCAACTCCCTACTTCAAAAAAACATTCACTTTTCAGCAAAATGTCAAAGGGAGATGTGACTGAGGCACCCTGTCACCACCACACAGGCTGTTGCCTTTCTCTTCACTAATGACACCTGGCACCTCCCAGGGGTTTCGTTTGCTTCATTAGCTCATGCTCGTCACTTTGGTGGTAACAGGCTTCTCCCTTCCCTACTGGTCATTCCCCACAGAGTCCCTGAGGTAAACTCACTAGACGAGTCTAATTTAAACAAGAGCTGCCTGTGGATCATTCTTCCTCTTCACTCACCTGTGAGATCATATGGTGGGGAAACTTCCACAAGATCGCAGCCCACCACGTTCAGGCCTTGACAACCTCGGATGATCTCCAGGGCCTGCCCAAGGTGGAAGTGACGGTCATTGCCAATGAGGAGCAACCGGCGGCGCGTAGGTACCCACCCCTGGTGGAGACGTGCTCGCTACAGCCTCGCTGGTGGGCCTCCCAGGGACACAGCTCCCAATCCAGGCCCTCTCCTAGGGGCTTCATGGTGTGATGGTGGAGTCAAGCCAGGCAATGTCACAGGTCAAGAGCCTGAGACAAGCAACCTACAGGAGACAGCCTGGGTGTGGGAAGGCTTCCTGAGGTACAAACACTTCAAGGAACTGGCAGATGAGATGACTCGGCATTCTGGGCAGAGACACAGGCTAACACATAGTAACAAGAAAGGCGAAGTAATGGAGATGGCTCAGGTGGCGTTAGGAACAGGTATAAAGGCAGCTGCCTTTCCAAAGAAGTTTCCCTCCTGAGTGTGAAAAACAGAGGACAGGGCTGGAGAGATGGCTCAGAGGCTAAGAGCACTGGCTGCTCTTCCAGGGGTCCTGAGTTCAATTCCCAGCATCCACATGGTGGCTCACAACCATCTGGCGCCCTCTTCTAGCCTGCAAGCATACATGCAGGCAGAATACTGTACATAATAAATAAATTTAAAAAGAAAAGCAGAGGGCTTAGGATTGTTCCAGAAATGCTCCTGAATGGGCAGGGAATGGCTGTAAGAGACGCAGTTATGAACATCCTCCTTTCTTAGAAAATGTATGCAATTCACTTACACCTTGGACAACCTGCCACTCACTCATACCCTGGCCTCTGAGGACAGGGTAATGGACAATGGAAAGGCCCTGCTCTCTCCCTGTCGATCTCAGTGTAGCTCATCAGGCTTGACTCCAAAATGCTCCAGCCACTGGGAGTAGGTCTCTGTGTACTTTATTAATTTAACCACAAGCAGCTTGGTGCATTGTGTTTTGTTTTGGAGCTGGGAATAGCAATATAGACCTTTGTTCGTGCTAAGCATGTGTGCCAAACTGAGCTACACCACCAGCCCCAAAGTTCGGTGTTCTTAAGAGGGGACACTACAAAATGATCCCCATGGATTGACTATAGATGAACTAGAGGCAGAAAGAATAATAAAGAATTCTCAGAGCTCTCGGGATGGTCCCAAAGTTCATGGGGAGAGCATTTGCTTAGCATGTGTGAGGCCTGGGTTTAATCCCTAGCTACAAAACAGGATATTAGAAAACCACAGGCCAGCAGCCCGTGCTCAAAGCAGGGCCTCTTCACTGAGTACCCAAAACGAGAATCAGCCCTGAGGACATATTCAAGCCTACCCAACCTCGTGATATTATGAAATGACATTATGGTCAAATTTCATGCTTAAGAACCAAACAGTCCGGTTTTTGGTTGGTTGGTTGGTTGGCTTGTTGGTTGGTTGGTTGGTTTTGAGACAGGGTTTCTCTATGTAGCTTTGGAGCCTTTCTTGGAACTCACTCTGTAGCCCAGGCTGGCGTCGAACTCACAGAGATCCACCTGCCTCTGCCTCCCGATTGCTGGCATTAAAGGCGTGTGCCACCACCACCTGGCCTGGTTTTGTTTTTTTAATCTCTTAATGTTTTAAGTAAGTTTACAGTTTTGTGTTGGGCGCTATCCACAGCTATCCTTAGCCAAATAGGGCATGCAGCCCTCAGGCCAGAGGTTAGACACATCCAGGTGCTGTGTCTTTAAAATCCTACCCTGGTGGTCCAGCACTCAGAAGCTGAGTTAGAGGCCTGCATGGGCTACATAATTCAAGGCAAGTCTGAACCCTGCAGCACTGGGTTAGCTAGCCAGGGGCAATGCTGAAGAGCTCACTCAGGTGGTGAGGATGCAGGAGAGCTTTTGGGCTGACCAACTCAGCTACCACCCAGGTCCCGATCCAGAGCTATGAGTTGGCCTACCCCAACATCCACCTTATCTATGAACTGCAGGAGCACGTGAAGAGGCCAGTCTTGCAGATCCAAAGCTGCAGGATCTCCACAATACCGGGCAGCAACAGGATATCCAAGAGGAGTCCCAGTGAGGATCCAGTATTGATAGTGTAGCAGAAGCCAGAGCCTCAAACCAGACCAATGACTCCTTGCAATGAACATTTGCAAGTAAAGATGTATGGACTAAAGAGTATACTGTGTATACTGTATGACTCACTGAGACACACTACAGCTTCCACGATTAGATTTTGGTGGTGGGGGTGGGGGTGGGGAGGACAAGGGCAGATACAGGGAGATGAGTGGGGTTGGAGTACATGATGTGAAATTGACAAAGAATCAATACCAAGTTAAAAAATAAAATACACCCTCTAGGGCTAGGAAGATGGCTAAGTGGTTAAGAGTGCTTGTTGCGCCGGGCGGTGGTGGCGCACGCCTTTAATCCCAGCACTCGGGAGGCAGAGCCAGGCGGATCTCTGTGAGTTCGAGGCCAGCCTGGACTACCAAGTGAGTTCCAGGAAAGGCGCAAAGCTACACAGAGAAACCCTGTCTCGAAAAACCAAAAAAAAAAAAAAAAAAAAAAAAAAAAGAGTGCTTGTTGCTTTTGCAGAGGTTTTGAACCAAACCAATCCAAGTTTGGTTCCCAGCATCCACATTAGGTGGCGTGCAACCACCTGTGAATCCAGCTTCAGGAGGATCTAATGCTCTTTCTGGCCTCTATGGGAACCTGTACACATAGGTGTGCATGCATGCATTGTGTGAGCATGCCTGCACACACACATACACACACAGAGGCATGGACGGGGCATACATAACAATAATACCCAACCTGGGAATCCAGTGAACAAACCCACTTACCTGACTAGGGGTGAGCCCAGCAACTTCCGGTGCCCCTGTTCCTGGGGCATAGGCAGGATCCAAGGCGTCTATGCTAAAGCTGACATAAAGAGGCTTGCCCCCCATCTGTTGCCTGATCTCTGCCATCAGGGGAACCAATGACTTCATCCAACAGTCTTCAGCCAGGACCACACGGAAGCCCTGAAGAGTGGAGAGCCAAAGAGCTGCAGATCATAGCTGACCCCATGCTCAACTTCTCACACGCTTATCACATCTGACCTCAACTTCCATGAGGGCAACCACAGTCCCCACTCTACTGATGAAGTTAGGAATCAAGGTCAAAGATGACCCGAGTGTCAGGATCAGAAAAGAATTTAGCAAAAACCAAGGGTGAGAAACTTATCATTTAAGACTCTAGGTCAGGAGTTTTCAACCTTCCTAATGCTGCGACCCTTTAATACAGTTCCACATGCTGTGGTGACCCCCAACCATAACATTATTTTCATTGCTACTTCATAACTGCAATTGTGCCACTGTTATGAGTTGTAATGTAAAGATCTGATAAGCAGGCTCTCTGATATGTGACCCCTGTGAAAAGGTGGTTTGAAAGGAATACCAATCCACAGTTGAGAACCACTATTCTAGATGCTTCTGTCCAGAACATTGGCCTTGATACACCCTAAAATTGAGGGACTGGACAGGTGAGTCAGCTCAGCTAGGGTAAAAGCACTTGCTAGCAAGCCTAATGACCTGAGCTCAATCCCCAAGACCCACACAGCAGAAGGGAACTGACTCCACAACTTGTCCTCTGACCTCCACACTCATGCTGTGGCACTCACGAACACACACAAATAAATGTAATTAAAAGGAACATAAGGGCTGGAGAGATGGCTCAGCGGTTAAGAGCACTGTGCTGTTCTTCCAGAGGTGCTGAGTTCAACCACATGGTGGCTCACAACCATCTGAAATGAGATTTGGCGCCCTCTTCTGGCCTGCAAGCATGCATGTAGGCAGAACAATGTATACATAATAAATAATAAATCTTTAAAAAAAAAAAAAAAAAAGGAACATAAAATAGCTGGGCATGGTGGCATATGCCTTTAATCCCAGCACTTGGGAGGCAGAGGTAGGTGGATCTTGTGAGTTCAAGGCCAGCCTGGTCTACAGAACGAGTTCCAAGACAACCAAAGCTATGTCCTGAGACCCTGTCTCAAAAAAAGAAAGGGACTGGGGTGTTTGTGTGGGAGTCTTGCACTGTGTTCAGACCAGAGCCTTCTGCCTGCTGGGTGTCGCAATAAACACCAAGAAGGGGTGTCTGGCCTAGACTCAGGTTCACACCCCACATCTTCTAAGCCAGCAGCCTCCAAGGGCTTTATTTTCTGCTTCATTCTGCTGTGCAGCAACAGGCCACTTCTGCCTCATTAATGTCTCTCTGAGCCAGGCACAGTGGCTCACACCTGTAATTCCAATATCTCAGGAGGCTGAGGCTGGAGGATCACCATGATTTGCAGGCCAGTCTTAAGACCCTGTATCAAAACAAAAGCAGAAATCTACTCTTGCCACAAGACTCTTTTTTTTTTTTGGTTTGGTTTTGTTTTGTTTTCGAAACAGGGTTTCTCTGTGTAGCTTTGGAGCCTGTCCTGGATCTCACTTTGTAGACCAGGCTGGACATGAACTCACAAAGATTCACTTGGCTTTGCCTCCCAAGTGCTGGGATTAAAGGCGTGCACCACCACTGCCCGGCTGCCACAAGACTCTTGATTCAAACTTGGATTTTCATCTCCACTTGCCTTTTCTTATCTTTGTCGGGGGTGGGGGTGGGGCAGGGAGCAGCACAGGCATGCACATGTCGTGATGCATGTGTGGAGGCTGGAGGTCAGAGGACAAGCTTCCGGAGTTGTTTCTCTCCTTCCACCTTGTGGGTCCCAGGGATCCAACTCAGGTCATCAGACTTAGCGGCAAGCGCCTTTACCTGATGAACCATCGTGCCAGCCCGTTTCTGGCTTTGTCCTCAAAGGAGGTCTCATATAGCCCAGGCTTGCCAGGAACTCTAGGAAGCTGAGAATGATGCTAGAGTCTCGACCCCTGGAGACTGGGATTACGGGCCTATGCTGCCACATCTAGCTCCAACCACACTCCACCCTGTGGAGTCCATCTTTGACAATGAAGAAGATACTTTGGGGGAGAGAGAAGGACATCCAGTCCATCACCTGGCTCCGACTGTATCTGTAGGGATCCAGAGTCTTGGAAGAGCCCCGGATGCCGATCTGCACCACCCGCTTACAGTCCAGCAGTCCCTCCTCCACGCTTCGACGGAAAGCTGTCCGATGATAGACCTTCTCCCCCAGAGTTCTGTCAGTTGTGTTGGTGTGGGCACCCACATGCACTAGGCCCACAGGGCCATGCCTAGTAACAAAAGAGCAGCTCAGAGGTCAAGGGTCCTGGCATCAGCTACCTGCCTTTGAGCTCTTTTCTGAGTTCAGCTCACTTAGCACCTTGAAGAAGTCAGGTAGAAGCAGATATGACTGGCCTGCCACCCAGAATTTCAGAGAGACTGACAATGGCACAGGACAGAACTCAGGAAAGGCTGAACCGATCAGAACCACCTTTTCTCCAGCTAAGGCACCAACAGGATGTTTGGACCCTGCTCCTCTCCATCAGCTCTGCCAGATACCCCAAATGAACACAGTCCATGCTAGTAGGAGACTAGCACAGCTTGAGACAAGACCGACCCCACCCACCCCCAATCAGGATGCTACCCACATGCCTTCCCACCCCAGCCAGGATGCTACCCATATGCCTTCCTGATGGGATAATCTTTTTGTACAGAATACTGTGTGAAGATGTATTCTGTCCTTCCTCACCTGTATAAGGCACCTTCTTATTGGTTTAATAAAGAGCTGAACAGCCAATAGCTAGGCAGGAGAGGATAGGCAGGACTTCTGGGGAGAGAGAGGAACTCTAGTAAAGAATATGAGGCAGGAGATTCACCAACCAGATGCAGAGGTCAGACATACGATACTGAGGAGTCGTAACGAGCCATGTGGAAGAGTGAAGATTAATATAAACAGGTTAATTTAAGTTTTAATTTAATTTAAGTTGGGAACAAGCCTAAGCTAAGGCCAAGCTTTCATACTTAATAAGAAGTCACCATGTCATTATTCGGGAGCTGGCAGTCCAAAGAAAGACTTATTACACCTTCCCACTCCAGTCAGGATGCTACCCACATACCTTCCCAAAAACAAATTCTGAAGCTCCCACCTACCATCTCCACCCTCTGTCTTCCTCCAGCTAAGCCAGCCAAAGCTGACTAATATGTGCAGACGTGCATCTGCTGGAAAATCTAGTTTTTGTTGTCCAGGCAAGGAGGGAGTTTGGTGGGCGGGGGTGGACACGTTCCCCCCCCCCCCCCCCCCCCCCCGCATCAATATTTGTAATTGGCATACAAAGCAAAACACACAGAAGGTAGCTGGGGTTGCATATCTCACTCGGGTTTCACCTTCCAAACCAGAGGCCAACTGAAAACGCAGAGTGTGTGTCCCACAGCAGAACTAGGCCAAGCGAAAGTGCTCCAAACCGATGACTGACAGACACACCCGGAGCCCAGCCTTCGTTTCGAACCCTAGAAACAACTCAGTGGGGATTTCCCATCACCCCTGCATCTCAGCCCACAGTGGTCCCAAATGTTGAAAGCCTGGGACTTACTTTTTTGCCACCGCTTGCAGTATGGGATATGTGAGCGTATGGTCTCCACCTGCAGAGAGAAAACAGCATACATCTATAAACACAACAGTCCCGAAGTCACCCAGCACTGCCCGGCACTGCCACCCTTTCGGGTCCACTACAGAACTCTATCCACAGCTAAATGGCCATGAGTGGCATTTTAAAAGGAAAATGCCCCCCCCCCCCCCCCCCCCGCCCCCTCCCCCCCCCCCCCCCCCTCCCCCCCCCCCCCGCCCCCCGCCCCCGTCATTTAAAAGCAGACACTGGAACTGCAGAGATGGCTCCGTGGTTAAGAGCACGCACTGCTCATCACGCATGTCAGGCAGCTCACAAGTCACCCTAACTCCAACTCCAGGGGACTCCACCTCTGGTCTTCACTGACACCTGTACTCACTGGCACATACCCACACTCAGACACACAACTAATTGCATAAATCAAAGCTTATGAGCTGTTCTGCAACACAGCTCTGTCCTACACACCTCCCCAGGATGGTGTGAACGGCGTACGCCTGCATTGCCCGATGTGGTAGCTGAGGAGTTGAAGATCCTCTTTTCCATTTGCTTTAGTTTTTATGTATATGATGTGTATAGCTGATGGCCTACGTGTGGACATCAAGGACAGCTTGGAAGAGTCAGTTCCCTCCTACAGTAGTGTTCCAGGGGTCAAATTCAGGTCATCAGGCTTGCATGGCCAGCACTTTTACACACTGAGCCATCCCTATGGCTCAAATACTTTATTTTTACTTTTTATAAAGATGTATTTATTTTCATTTTTATGTGTTTAAGTGTTTTGCTTGCGTGTGTCTCTGCACCACATTCATGCCTTGTGCCCTCAGAGGTCAGAAGACGGCATCGGATCCCCTGGGACTGGAGTTACGGATAGATGACTGTGAGCTGCCCTGTGGGTGCTGGGACTTGAATCTGAGTCCTCCGCAAGAACAGCCAGTGCTCTTAAGTACTGAGCCATCTCTCCAGCCCCATACTACTTACTTTTAATTTTTACACTGGGAATTGAACTCAGGGCTCCACACATGCCAGCCAGGTGCTCTGCCACACTAATCTCATGGGTTTTTTGTTTTTGGTTTTGGCTTTTTTTGGAGGCAGGGTTTCTCTGTGTAGTTTTTGGTGCCTGTCCTGGAACTCACTCTGTAGACCAGGCTGGCCTCGAACTCACAGAAATCCGCCTGGCTCTGCCTCCCAAGTGCTGGGATTAATGGCGTGCGCCACCATTGCCTGGCTTAATCTCATGTTTCTTAAGAAATAATTTTGAGGACTGGCTGATGTGGACCCTGGGAACTGAACTCAAGTCCTCTGGAAGAGCCGCATTAGTCCTTAACCACGGAGCCATCTCTCCAGACTCACACCGAAAGTGTTTCGATCACATTTATCTCCCACTCCTCCTGCATCTGCAACCCTCCTTTCCAACACATCCTCCTCCTATCTTTGTGTCCTTTTTCTTTGTTTTCTTTTCTTTTTTTTTTTTTTTAATCTCACTGAGTTTAGTGTCAGGTCCAAAGGAAACTCCATTTCCCCAAATTCTAGGGGCCAGGCAAAAGCCAGCCTTCCTCAGGAACTTGTGACGCTGGCTCTCCTCCACCAAAAGGGGTCATTCCCTTTTCACTGGCAGAAGGGACAAATGGCTATTGGTGGTGCCCATTAGCACAGGCTGGCCTCCAGGTCCCTCGATGTCACAGATACCTGTTACACATTTCAGAGTGCATGCTGGCCCCCTGGACCTTCCCAGCTCATCCCCTAAACTCCAGTTCATGTGCTTCCCTCCTCACAGCTGCTTATTCTCCTTAGAACCCTGCTAGTGCTTTGGCCAAGCTCCTTCTCTTCTGCTCACTCTCTCTGTTTTCTTCTCCGGGTCTCCCCGCGCCCCCATCCCGTTTCCCTCCTCCCCATTTCCCTGCAGGTCACATTCAGTCTACTTTTTATCTCTGCTCTGGACCTTTCCAGGTGTTCCTGGATGTCCTCTCTTGTCTACAGTAAAAACCCTCCCCTTAACCACACCACAGAGCAATACCATCGTCGGTTTATACAGTCAGTGTTGCTTGTACATATCTAGGTATGAAAGTATGGTGTTATGTACCAGCACTGTCTTTTTATTTTTTAATTTTGAATCTTGTGACAGGGTCTCACTAAGTTGCCCAGGCTAGACTTGAACTCATGCTGCAGTCTAGACTGGCTTTGAACTTGTGGTCCCCCTGCCTTAGTCTCAGGAGTAACTAAGATTACAGGCTACCCTACTGAGCAGTACAGGCCTAGGGCAAGAATTAGTATTAATAGTGCTGGCTAACCCCACGCCCCGCCCACAGTGCAGTGAGATGGGCATTGTCACTCCGCCTGGTGACAGATGAAGCCAAGCACCTAGCAACATGAAGCAGCTTGTGAGAGCTAGGTTGAGATGTCAAAAACGGCATCCTGAAGCCACCCTCCCGACCGCTGCCAAATCCGGTAATTAGGCCATGCAAATTGGCAAAAATAAATGGGGATATTTAAAAACAAAACAAAAACAAAAACACCTCTCACATTGTTTCAATGTGGACCACTGCCCTGTAGACTGATGCAAATCCTGACCAGTTCAGATATATCCTCTGGAGGGCAGGCAAGATGGCTCAGTGGGTAAAGCCTGATGACCTGTATTTGATCCCCAGGACCCACATGGTAAAAGGAGAGAACGGACTCCCAAAAGTTGGATTCTTACCTGTATATGCATACTGTGACACATGTGTACATGGACACACACTACATAAATGTAAGAAAAAAGGAAAGAAGGAACAAAAGAAAGGCCCTCTTGCAGTTCTCACAGTCGCTAAAAACATTTTTGTCTGTGAAGTGGGGAAGCTGCAACTGAGTCCCTGGTGACAGCCTTCTCCAGGTCTGAGGCGGAGGGCTGGGAGGAGGGTGAGGGAGGAGGGCTGGGAGGAGGGTGAGGGAGGAGGGTGACATACATGCAGGGGTAGAACCTTTGAAAGAAAAGACATTCTTGGCTGAACAACAACAAAGCCAGTAACACCAATTCTAGTCAAACTGGGGTTTGAAGCAAAAGCAGGGACAGGTTCCTCACCCTAGTTTATTGATTGACTGTTGATTCTTTATGCCCGAGGGCAAATGCCTCACTGGCCTTGTCCGAGTTAGCCAGCATATTTTTTCCCACTGAAACAGGGCCTTACTCCGTTAGCCTTCATGCCAGATCTCCCAAAATATTAAATATCTTCTCCCCTAGGATTAAAATGAGTGACTCTGAGTGTCCACTCTCCTTCTGTGTCCATCTTCCCAACAGCTTCCCCTGGAGAAGAGCTTCTCATGGGCAAATATTGAACCACCACCCTCCCCAGACGACCATGAAAAAGCCACACTTGCCCTTGCCAGCAGCCCTTACCCAAGGTCAGAGGAATGCAGCCAGCTTCTAGGACGTTCTGATAGACCTCCCGAATTAGCCGGCAGCTGTCCTGGAGGTTGTAAAGATTGACATTCACATTGCCTAGATCTGCCACCCTGAGGGACTGGAAGGGGAGGGCTCCTGTGCTGGGGTTGACAGCCCCCAGCATCACCGATTCCTCCCGGATTCGATGGGGTCCAAATCTGGAGAAGAAGAATCGTCTACATGTCAGCTTCTGCAGGGCTCTGAAGGCTTGCTATGCCTAAATGGAGCGTCTCTGTCTCCTAACATTTGGACAGGCGACCCTGTGCTGTGGGATAGTCTGTAACCACTGGCAATCAGGAGCACCTCTCCCCCCAACCTGCACCAAGTAAAAGTATGTCTGGATGTGAGCAGGCATCACCACTGGGTACAATACAGACCCCGCTGAGAACCATTCATCTATGTATATTTGGGGGGGGGTGGCTGTTTTGTTTTGTTTTTTGACTTTTTTCATTGTATTTTTTTTTTTTTTTAAAGATTTATTTATTAATTATGTATACAATGAGTGTTCAGTCTGCAGGCCAGAAGAGGGCACCAGATCTCATTGTAGATGGTTGTGAGCCACCATGTGGTTGCTGGGAATTGAACTCAGGACCTCTAGAAGAAGAGCCAGTGCTCTTAACCTCTGAGCCATCTCTCCAGCCCCTTCATTGTATTGTTTTTATATTGGTCTTGCTGGCACAAAACTCACCGTGTAGCCCAAGATCGCCTCAAACTCTCAATCCTCCTGCCTCAGCCTCCTGAGTGCTGGGACTACCTCTAAGCATGACCATAGCAGACTAACAGAATTTCTGATCATATTCAGTTTACTAGTTTTCCATACTGTAACACAGTATCTGAGGCTGATTTAGGTTTTTGTTTGTTTGTTTGTTTGTTTTAGTACAAGGATAGCTCAGTCACTAAAGCTCTTGCCATCTAAGTAGAAGGATCCAGGTTTGATCCCCAGAACCCGTATATAACTACCAGATGTGGTGGCACCCACTGGGAATTCCCAGCACTGCAGACTCAGATCAGGAGGGTCAGTAGGGGGTCCCTGGCCACCTGTCTAGCTCACTCAGTGAACTCTCGGTCAGTGAGAGACCCTGTCTCAAACAAGGTAGACTGTAATACCGAGATGACTCACTGGCTGACTTCCCTACCCGCATGCATGCACGTGAGCACACATATGAATTAACCGTTTATTTAAGGAGCTGGAGAAATGGCTCATGAGTTAGGAGCACTGACTGCTCTTGCAGAAGATCTGGTTTAGTTTCCAGCACCCACAAGGTTATCCTTAATTCTAGTTCTTGGGGGACCCAACACTATCCCCTTCCGGCTACTCAGCACCAGGCAGAGATATGGTACACACACATTTCGTGCAGACAGAAACACGTGTACACATGAAATAAAAGTAAACATTTTAAAAAGTTAAGTACCAGCATGTGACACACACTCCACTTTGTTCTTTGCCTGTTTTGTCTTTTTCATCAATGGAGATCAAACCGGGGCCTTGAAAGCTGAGTGTGAGAGAGCTTGTCACTCAGACACACACACCCCATTCCTTACTCAAGAGCATACCCACCACTAATTTATTACATAGCATTAGACAGTTCCTTAGCTTGAGTTTCTGTTTCCTGATCTTTAAAATAATGATGCTGTTATTTATGTCCTGGTGTGGTGGTATGAATTTAACGAGGTCAACTTTTCAAAATATCCTGGGTTCGTTGACATTTACTAAATGACAGCTTTTAAAATTCAACCTGGGGGTTGGGGATTTAGCTCAGTGGTAGAGCGCTTGCCTAGCAAGCGCAAGGCCCTGGGTTCGGTCCTCAGCTCTGAAAAAAAAAAAAAATTCAGCCTGATACAGTCAGATACAATGAACTGAAGCAGAAACTGCTGGTGCTTGCTAATTAAGAAACAGACTTTCGGTCTCTTGGATTTTGATAGTTGGGGATTTGGGGAAGGGACTACCAATGTCTGTTCTCAAACCAGTGGCCCCTAGGATGGAACTAGGGTGTGCACATCCACCATCCCAGCAAGGCTGGGGTTCTAGAAACTCTCCTGGTTTGCTAATGCACCCCAGGCTGGCCTTTCTGAGCTGCCTCGGCTTCATGAGGTTACAGGAGTACAGAGAAGCCTTTCTTGACCCCTGATGACCCTGAGATCTCAGGATTGGCCTTCCAATCCTGTGTTAAGCCCTTGGTGTTGTGTGTTGAAGGAGGAGGGAGCCGCCCTCCCTGATTCCAAAATGACCTAGGTGAAGAGGTGCAAGCCCCACGTGCCTTCGGCACTCGGGGCTTCTGGCCTTACCTCGCCCCAGGCCGGTTGGAAGTCCCAGTGTCCAGAGGCACACCGATGAAGGCAGCATCCAGCCCCTCAGGGGAGGACTGCAGGGGCAGGCGCATCATGGAGCAGACGCCCACCAGTTGTACCAGTGACTCAGAGCCGGGGGACTGGTGATGCGGGGCATCTGAGGCATCTGAAACCTGGCGGATCCTGGGGTGCCCAGGAGAGAGGAGCCCCACAGAGGGACGCCACGTGGCCACCCCAGACCCCAGGCCTCGGGTACAACTGGACGTGAGCAGCCGCAGCATGCCGCCTATGGAGGAGCCCAACCCTGCCAGCGTGCCAGCCCCCAGGTGCAGGGCTCAAAGGTCAGGGGCGCCCTGGGATCAAAGGGGCGGGCCCTGGGATCAAAGAGGCGGGGAGGGCCCCAGAGCCCAAGTCTTTCTCTACCTGCCCCGCTGGACTTCAGCTCCCCACTGGATTGGCACTGGATTGGTCAATGAGACGGCTGGGGCTCCCCATTCATGCCCACCTGCTCCACCCCAGGTTTATCAGTGCAAGGAGCCTCCCAACATCTGGCTTTTGGCTGTCTCTCCTATTCAGAGTAATTGTGTTTTGCTTTGTTTGCTATTGTTGTATTGTTTTGTTAACAAAAGGTCTCACTCTGCAGCCCTAGCGGGTCTGGAACGCGTGTATCTAAGTTGCCCTTCAGTGCTAAAGTAAAATGCTCAACCTAAGCAACATTGCGTTGTTGTTACTGTTTGTTGTCCTTGTTCTCATGTAGCTGGCACAGGCTGGCCTCTCCGGCTTGTCATGTAGACTAGGCTGACCTCAAACTCAGAGAGATCCATCAACTCAGCACAGAAGAAAGGTGCTTGCCACAGGCTTGTCATCATCATTCATATATATATATGAATTTATATCCTTAAAATATACATACGCATATATACATATATATATATATATATATATATATATTTTTTTTTTTTTTTTCAGAGCTGAGGACCGAACCCAGGGCCTTGCACTTGCTAGGCAAGCGCTCTACCACTGAGCTAAATCCCCAACCCATACACATATTTTTTAAGAATAGCTGGGGGTAGAACATTTGCATCGTATCTGCAAAGACCTTCAGTTGCACTCTGAGTAAAGAGAATATAAAATAAAAATGCGTTAAAGTTATGCATGATGGTATTAGCCTTTAATCCAAGGACTCAGGAGGCAGAGGCAGGAGAGTCTCTGTGAGTTTGGAGTCAGCCTGATTTACATGAGGAGTACCAAGCTAGCTAAAGTTACATAGTGACATCCTGTTAAAAACAAAACCCCACAAAACTTTTTAATGTATTACAAAGAATTTAGTGTTGAGCTATAGAGAAAGGCACAGCACCAGCAGGCCTGCTCATGTGCTGTCTTCTCCTTAGTTCTAAGGAAAGGAAAAAAATCACTCAGGGGCCAGCAGGATGGCTCAGCTGGTGAAGGCATCAGCTGACAAGCCTAATAAACTGAGTTCAACCCCTGCCACCCAGAACAGAACTGACTCCTCAAAGTTGTCCTCTGCCCTCCGCAGGAACATCGTGGCACACATGCACACACATACAAAAAATAAATGCAAAAAAAAAAGAGGCACAAACAGAGAAGTGACATGTGAGACACTTAGTGGTTTTGGTGTTTTCTCTAGCAATTGAGACTGAATAGAAAAAGTAGTGTGCGTTGGTGCACAGCCTCGCTGCAGAGGCCACACAGGACACTACACAACATTCTAGGATGCACTCTGGGGCACAGGGCAAAGTTCTCTGAGGTCAGTAATGAGTGTTCCATATTAGAGGCTTCAAGGCAGGTCTGTATATCCTCCAGAAGAAATGCAATGGTCTCTTCCTCTCGACGCCCAATTTCTACCATGGTTTCCCTCTCCTCACTTGTCTTTGGGCACATGATCATCTCGCTGCTGGTTTTCTTTCCATGCATCTCACATGTTTAATGGGTGCCCTCTCTGCATCCCATGTGCCGGTGACTGAGGAACACTCCCTCCTCATGCTTGAAAGGGTGGCCTTCCGAGTGAATGTTCTGGAGTTTCTCTACCTCCCTGCTTCCCTCAGGACAATCTCTTTTCACAAGTGATGGTTTTCTTTTGCAGATGGATGACAGTTCCTCATGAGGAAGTCTCCACGGCTGATGTCCTGTCCTGTCATCCCCACAAGGAGGCACCAGCTTAGCAGAAACATCTGCTATCACCTGAGAGGCCAAGTGAAGTGGAAAGTGGACCACAGCCCATGTGGGACAAGAGCCCTGGTCTGGGCTACAGCCCTGGCTCAACTGTTAAGAGTGCTTACTGCTCTTGCAGAGGACCTGACTTTGGTTCCCAGCCCCACATCAGTGGCTCACAACTGCCTGTAACTCCAGCTCCAGGGAATCAGGTGCCTCTTCTGCCTCCTCAAGCGCGCACACACACACACACTAAAAATAAAGGGACTGGAGATGGCTCAGCAGTTAAAAGCACTTGCTGCTCTTTCAGAGCACGCAGGCTCAGTCCCCAGCACCCACACAGTGGCTCACAACCATCTATCACTTTATCTCCAGGTATCTGATGTCCCCTTTGGGCCTTCACCGGCACCAAGAACGTACAAAGTGCACGTGCATGCGTGCAGGCAAAACCTTCATATGCATAAAAATAAATTTAAAATAAACTTAAAAAAGAAGCCTACTTCAAGGCGCTCCTTGTCAACATTAAAAAAAAAAAAAAAGATGATTGTGTGCAGTCAGAAAGCAGGTGGTGGGGGTAGCACGCACTCCTAGGGGTTCTGGTCAGAGCAGCCTAGGCAGCCGATCCTAGTTGGTGCTCCCTGTCTGTCCATGTCCAGCTGAGAGCCATTTGGGGCAGAGTTCAAGCTAACTGGGGCAGTCACACAAGGTAGGCTAATGTCATACATATTTAATGTCTGTAATGCACAGACACTGGCCAGGGGCAGTGGCCATCAGCACATACCTAATGGACATCAGCCTGGAAGGAAAACGTGCTTAAATCAGAGCTCCAAAATATAGAACATGAATTAACTTTTTTTTTTTTTTAAATCTATGACTTTCTTCCTCCATCCCCAAGTTTACTTCAATAGAAGAAACCGAATCTTTCCCCCACCCTTCCAGTGCTGGGGAGGGAACTCGGCTCTCCTCCAATGAACTCCACACGGTGCCCTATATCTTTTTCTTTGTGCACCAGAACAGAAAGGTGGGGAAGGCACTGTCCCAGCAAACTCTAGGCTCCAGCACGGACTTTACGCTCTCTGCCGGCCTCCAAGGGGCTGCTTTGAACCTTGTCCGGAACATGTAAGAACTGTTTTTGTCAGTGAGTGAATGATTGGACAGATCTGGAGCTGCGCAGAAGGGCCCTAGGGGCGGTGCTTGCTTTAGAAAAACAAAGGAACATCCGGGAGAGCCGGAGTGTCAGGAAACACTGGTGCGTTTCAGCCCCCTGTGCAGATCGTATTACGGGTCCAGTGAGGCAAGGGCCCTGTGAGAGTCAGCACTGGGAACTTGTCTCTGCTTGTGGAAGCTTAGACATGTTGGTGTGGCAATGTCAGCAAGATGAGCAACTTGGGACACAATGCTCACTTCACTGAGCTGTGACCACAATGTCTCCTTGACTTCAGCCCTTTTATTTTACTTTTTTCTACTTAGCCCAGGCTGGTTTCCAGCTCCCAATCCTCCTGCGTCGTTTCCTCAGTTTTCCAATTACAGGCATGTAGTACCATACACCAATGCCTTTGGGGGGGGGGGGTGTTGAGGGAGTTGGGGGATCAAGACAAGGTTTTCCTGTGTAGCCCTGGCTGTCCATGAACTAGTTCTGTAGATCAGGCTGGCTTTGAACTCAGAGATCCGCCTGCCTCTGCCTCCCAAGTGCTGGGATTAATGGCACACCTAGCTCCCAATAACATTTTTAAAACTATGTTTCGTGTATTAGTCCTTTTTCTGATGCTACAACAAAATAGCACAGCACAAGTCCAGGTCTGGTGGCCTGCGCCTATAACAACTGCATTTGAGAGGTAGCATTGGGAAGATCCAAGGTTATCCTGGGCTACAGAGTGAGTTTGGAGGTAGCCTGGGATGGAGGATGGAGAAGGGGGAAAACAAGAAGACGAAGAAGAGGAGGGAGTTATTTATTTGATACAGTTTTGGAGTCTGAAGGTCCTAATTGGACCACACTATCAGGTCAGTCTCTTGAAGAAAGCTTCAGGCAGCATATTGGAGTGATCAGATGGGAAGCCAGGAAGCCAAAGGGTGAGGAAGGGCAGGATGCTCTTCTTCTAACATCTTATTCTCTTGGGAACGAACTGGCATGCCCTGAGGAGTAGTCTAATGTCTTCATGGATGACACCCCAATAAATAACTTAATCAAATCCTATTAGACCCATGCCTCTCATAAAGCCACAGAGACACACGAGCCTTTCGGGGACAAAGCACATCAAACCAAAGCATCGTGAACGTGTTTTATTGTTAGATAAAAATGGACATTCAATCATATTTGAGAAAGCGTGAAAAGGGAGAGAGTTGTGATGGGGCTAGGGGCAGCTTTGGCGGTTGGCCTGGCAGTAGGAGAGAGTGATCGGCTCAAATCAATACAGCGGAGCAAGTAGGAATGACACCCAAGGGTGGCGGTAGGGGGCGGTTAGTGGGTGGGGAATTACCAAGAGGAACTGTCCCGGGCTGTTCTGGCTGTTGCTGGGGTAAAACACTCTGACCAAAAGCAACTAAGGGGAAGAAAGGATTTATGTCAGCTTACAGGTCATAGTCCGTCACGGAGGGAAGGGAAGTCAAGGCAAGACTTCAGGCAGGAACCTGAAAGCAAGCCTGCTCACTATTCCACACATTACCTCTCATGGAAGAACTCACAGCCAAGGAACTGGCTCACTCAGGCTCGTGCTCAAGCTATGTCCTAGAGAGCCCAGGACCATCAGCCTAGAGATGGTGCCGCCCATAGTGGGCTGGGCCCTCCCACATCAGTTATCAACAAAGGTGACTCCTCACAGACTTGCCCACATGCCAATCTGATCCAAGGAATTTCCCAGCTGAGACTCCCTTCTCAGATGAGTCTAGGTTGTATCAAGTTGACAGTAAAAGCTAAGCAGGTCACAGGCTAAACTGACCTAACAAGATTCTTGCTGAAGAAGGGTGGGTGATAATAACATCATAGCAGGATGATGGTGGAGGAGGAGGAGGAAGAGCTAAGCAGACACTGAGGGTGACTAGACACCCAGGGTGGGAAGTTCTTGCTACAACTGGACTTTTATACCTGTAATACCAGACTCAGGCAGGAGGA